AAAGCGCCAGGTTCATATCTCTAGGTTTATGTAAATATCTGTCTGTATGATAAACAAGCCTCCTAGATGTGTCCAAACCAAATTGGTCTTCACTGAGAAGTCCTAGCTATTCTTATTTTATCATAATCTTATAGTTGTTGTGGCTAATTATCCTTCTTTCTGTATTATGAAATCTCATCTCAGCTTCCAATCATCACTTTCATGTATTCAGTCTTCCTATTCGATTGGCCTTTTTTGCTTTTAACACAAAATGTTTTGACAAGTGTGTTTGAAATCTTAAACTACCTATAGCGCACAGCATTTTTATCTGTGCTCCCTTTGAAATCTACTACGTAAGCACGTTTATGATTTCGAACCCATCTTTTTAAGCATAATCTCTTTGGTCAAGATATTGCATAAAATTTCTAATTCTACCATAAAAGTAATGTTTCTAACTTCTTCCATAACTAGTAATTAGTTGATAATAACTCCATTTAAATTCTTATCCTGACTAATCATTTGTTAGTTTCATTATAATGAACGAAAAGACAGGACAACTTCTTGGTAAAATATGAAGACAATACTTTGAATACTTCATTTGCAAAATTTCATCATTTGTCCCACACTTTCTGTATGGTTTAATCAAGTCACAATTCCTTACTCTTTCCGTTTTCTTCAAGTCGACCTTCATGACCTTCTGTTGCCATGCATTTCTCTTCTGATCATTGTTACATAGTACTTATATCTGTCGATATAAATAGCATGCACCACACTATTTTCTTGATTTCCTTAAATTGGACTAATGTCATTCACAAGTCTATTATTTTTTTCTTCGCTTTTACAGACTACTTGAAACATCTTTGTGACATGTGAAATTTTTGAAAATTTTTTTACAATTTTATCATACGTCAATTTTCCAACATCTGGTTGTTGAATAACAGTAAGGACGATTTAAACTGCTTCAGCAAATAATACTATGAAAAATAACATTTTCATGGCTAAATTTTTGTTTTTTCCCTGGACAGTGACAAATTAAGTTACATCCTGATCAGTATAATTACCCTTCTGTTTCTTTGCATATGACGTATCTCGTTAATGAATAGATTTTTTTTCTTTATTACTTGTTACATCAATAAACTTGATGGCTTGATATTATTTAGACCATAAATTACCATTGTCTATATGCAGTTATCGATCAAAGCTCTATTTCATACAAAACAAACTATCAACGTTTATCAGTTCGTACTAAATGTTATGTCCTTAGTTATACAATTATTAAGAAATACGATTGTAATTTTGGTACGATGACTTATACGAACAATCTAATGACGCATACACCAGTACGAGCAGTCTAGAGTTTCAATTGGTTTTTTTTCCGCCTGACCCTTTCTATTACGTTTACAACGTCAATCTCAGCCTCCGCGATACGAGTCATATATTTCAAGCTTACTTGGTTTATGTACAGGCAAAATCAGACCACATCACACTTTAAAATAGTAGATAACCTTTGTACAATATCAAGCCGAAAATAGCTGTGATTATGAGGGACTTTTACTAATAGATTGAGAATATCTCAAGAATAGTAAATCGTATGATAATAGTCAATAGGTCAAATAAAAGCTTATAATGAAAGGAATATGAGTACACACAGTCTATTTAACAATTATACAATAAAAATATATTTTTTAGTAATCGTCCATAAATAGATCTTAACAGTTACCTTTCATTATTATCGTCGCGATATAACACTAAATCCTAATGAAAACTACATGATCACCCACGATAACATATAAAATGCTATTTTTTTGATGAAATCAACACAGCAAAACCAAAAGTAACCTTATTCAATTCGGAAAACATTTTGTTTTTTCATGGTTGAAAGCATGAGTCAATTGAAGATAGACCATCATGGAAAACCTAGAAGCACTGGACAGCCGTTTTGGCCTACTGTGGGACTCCTCAATAATGTGTATCCGCGATCCCGCCTCGCGAGCTTCGAACCAAGGACCTATCAGTCTTGCGCACTTAAACTTTAACTACTGGGTCGGCGTCCAACGGTGTTAATGTCTAACTTCAACCGATCCACGGAGTTGAGAATTCGTTCATCAATTGTCTTCAGTGAGTTCCTATGTCACAACAGACGTGGTTGAACTCCACTGGTCACTGCTTCTCACTAGGACTCCAGGAAGTACCTCTTGAAGTCAGTCATTAATGCGCATATGATTCTTTACGAAAAATCTGTTCTAAATTTCATCTGCTAGACACTATTCAAACTATATGAAACTTCATCTCCAAGTCTCTTAACCTAACTAACTGAAAGATTTCTTAGTTTAACTGTTTGTTTTATGTAAAAATGTGTATTAACCATTGATCACTTTAAAAATTGAATTTAAAATAAGATATTTTTTAGTTTGTCTGCCACTATTTTCAAAGATCTAGTTAAATAATCGTGCTTGGAATTACTAGACATTTCAGTTGTAAAACGCTTTTCATTAATTTCTAAGGCTCTAGTGTGTTCGTTTATGTGTAAAATAAATACTTTGTAACGATAGATTATTTTAAAAAACCACTGAAATTATCTGATTTTCAACGACAATAAACATACTTTTAAACATGATCTTTGACAAGGTATGTACTAACAGATAGGACTTAGTCAATAGAATATTTTATTCCAGTGATGAACCTATCAAATTTAGGTCTTCATTGAAAATTCGGAAACACTGAACTGCCATTTTGTCCTACTTTGAGATTGTGCAGTGCTCATCCACGTCCTTGAATTTGGTAGTCAAACCCAAACTCACACAAACGCCTAAAATGTGAACCACTGATTCAGCATCCAAAGGTGTTAACTTCTTACTTTAATCCATTGTCTCCGGGTAGGAAACTGCCTCTTTTTCAACACCGTTTAACTTTAATGATTATGACTTTTCATAAGAACTCTGAAATTTTCCTCTTAAATCTAGTCACTAGTAAAATCTTTAAAATTGTCATCATGTGTTTGTGGAGGTTATTGAATTTCATAGAAAGTATTGTATGACGTCAATTTCAAGAATCAAAATGTTGATATGTCCATTGAATCTTTGTTTCTTCTACAATGAAATGATGTTAAACAAACTATTTACTTTAATTTGTTTTAATACTTTTACTTATAATTCAATGCCAAATTGATTTATAAAAGAATCATAAATTAAATAAGAATTAATCAATTATCAACAAAACAGATCTTAATTTCATTCAGGTTTTCAATCTTAAGGATACGTATTAAAAGTACTTTCAGAAAATATACAAATATACTTAGTTATATTACCTGTTATCTAAATTATATTTAATTATTATACCTTTACAATTTTTCAATGTTTTCAATGTTAAGAACATCATAGATGATTGTAAAATATACTACAAATATATATATATATTACAAATTATATATAATCCCTTGAAAAAGCTTGGACCAGATTGCCAGGCGAAACGTTGGATTTAATTTAAAAAATTCATTCGCTGAGATTTTACAAATATATTATTCCTATTTAATATCATGTATATGTTTATGTAAATTTCAACGTCATTACATTCTTTTGAAATGGAATTAACAAAACATAAAACTACAAACAAACAAAATACAATGAAATTCACTTGGTAATGTTTGGTTGAATCTTTCCATTGATGTGTTAGGACTGTAATTGATCAGTCTCTTATTGGTCATATAAGCATACTGTGCGTATTGTCTCGATATAGCCTTAATTCACAGGCATTATAAGTAAAGATGGATAGTAGTTAGCAGTAGAATCCAAGATGCAGGTTTCGTCTTATTTAAGACTCGTCATCTGGCTGTACCTGCATCCCAGAGTTGATATTCACTCTGGAACTCGAACCCAGTACCTTTCGCTTCAAACACCATCGTGTTATCCACTCAACTACTGAATCCAGATAGCCATTAGCTTGTGCAATAAGGTGAAATTTAAATACTTTTCGTATTGTCCAGTTGATGAGTCCAGAATAGGGTGAAATGCGCGTCTTGGATTACATTGCTATCCATTATCTATCTTTGCTTATAAAGCTTGTGAATTAAGGCTATATCGAGGCAATACACACGTTATGCACATATGGCCAATAAGAAACTGATGAGTTGCAGTCCTAAATATCAATGGGAAGATTCAACCAAACAATACAAAGTGAATTTAAACTTCACCCCATCGTACAAGCAAGTGGCTATCTGGATTCAGTAGCTAGGTGGATAATGCGATGGTATTTGATGCGAAGGACAATCGATTCGAGTCTCAGGGTGAATATCAGCTCTGAGATTTAGGTACATCCAATTGAAGAGTCGCAAATAGCATGAATCGTGCGTGCTAGATTCCACTGCTAGCCACTATCCATCTTTACCCAAAATACACTGAAGTTTGTGTAATTTCTATCTAAATATTAACAGATTGATGATGTTTCACCAGATAATGAAAAAAGTTATTTGATAATTTATAGATTTATGAACTTCTATTACTGTAAATAAATTAATATAGTTGTAATATCCCAATGAGTTGAAAAATTAGATTTTCTGACGTTTCGTGACCCAGTGTAGGCCACTTCTTCATAGAATAACATTACTGTATTATTTACGTCAAGATAAATTATTTCAATCTGAATTTAACATATCTGATAGTTTTTTATTTTCAAGGTTTTACCATTATCCTTGAAAAAAAATAATAAACAAAAACAATAATACTTCAATTACTTTTATTTCCTATCAAAACTTTAGTTTTTCCCCTTTATACCGGGTTAAATATGTCTATCTTTCTTTGAATCCATTCATATAATCCCCCACCCCCTTTTATCTCCCCCTTCTTAAACCTATTAATGATTGAACAAATCATGTGTCTATCCTTTAAATATAGATATAAAGAGGGGATATTTTTAATTACCTATAGAAACCTCTATATATATATCTGTATAAATACAAATGAATCCAGATTGTAAAGTTGAATGATAGTGGACGATATATAAATATACCATAAGGAATTGATATAATGTTTTATAAAAATATTATAACTTCTATTATTATTATTATTATAAATGGTTATATTCATTTATATAATCAACAATTATTATTAATTATTAATGCAACACAATTAACCCGTTATCAACGTTCATTAAGTATGAAAAATATTATATTATGGCCAAATGGTATTGTACCATATATTATTGATGATATAGATAAAACAAAAACTAATGAATTTACAGAATATTTTAGTAGTAAGTTATTGAAAGAATATTGTATAATTATTTGTTTTTTTATATTGTATAAACAAATATGAGGACAAAACTCCTCCTGTAGCACTTCTGTAGTTAATCCTGATCTTAAACTTGTTAAATGAAGAGGTTTGGGCATGACGTTAGCGAACCTATCTCGCTAACCAAATTATTTAATCTCTGTCCTCGGTGTTAGAAAGTATTCATTTATAAAAGTTGTGACGAATAAACACCGAATCGAGACTATATATATTAAATAGATTCATCTATGGACTGATTAACTAATTATTGAACATGAAATTTAAAGACTAAAGTTGAATTCTTTCTATACCGAATAGTATCGTGATGTGGGTTACTTATATCTACATAAGTAGTATATGGTGATGATCGGGCATTGAATATATTTCAGTAGAAGATCGATAAGGAGAGAACGGGAAAGGCACGAAATTGATACAAAAATGCATGAATAATTATAATCGGAGACTATGGACGGATATTTTCAGAAAAAAACAGCCAAATTCAGACAATTGATTGTTATTTTGCAAATTAACTGTTCACTATATGGTTCTCATATTTTTATGAGATATTCTGTAACGTTGTGCTGGAATTCATTAGATTGTCTCTACCCATGTTTTGTTCACTACAGTGTAAGTAATAGGATACTAATACGACAATGATTATTGTTGTTTTCATTACCGAAATGAAAGAAACAATAGTTTATAAAAAAAACGCATAATGGAATTGGTAAGACCATTGAATTTTCGTAGTTTTACACCTCTAATTGCCCTTATCTAGATAACCGTTAAAAACCAGTAAGCACTAAAGAACTGTCTCGTCTTAGCATGGAACTCTTCAGTAGTGTCGGCCCACCGTTACACCGTAGAGTAAAATCAGGACAATCATTGTTGTAACTGACATAGTGTATCCATGATTTCTATAAAGAAAGAAAGCAAACCATTCTGGAAATCCTTCACTAAATAAAATAAACTTAGTCAAATGATTATATATTTTCAGAAAACTTAAAATAATATGTTATGGTAAGCAGAGATAGATAGTGGCTAGCAGTGGAATCCAGCACGCGCGTTTCGTCCTATTTGGGACTCGTCAGCTGGATGTACCTGCATCTCAGAGTTGGTGTTCACTCTGGGACTCGAACCCATTACCTTTCACTTCAAACGTCATCTTATTATTCACTCGGCCAGTTGCAGTCCTAACACATCAGTGGGAAGATTCAAACAAACAATACTAAATGAATTTAATAATATCTTATGTTCGCACATATAATCTATCGCGTTTGAAATTTCGAACATTCATATGAAGTGAACAACAAACTTCTTCAGTTGAACGCTAAAATATAAGCCAGATAACCGTTAAGTTAAACAAACAATTGTTTGACAACAATATTATCACACAATTGAACCTAAAATTTTATGTGCAATGTAACTCTGTATACGATTTAAGCAACGTGAACAGTATTAAAAAAAAATATGCTAGCCAGTTTTACTAGCTTAACTAGTTACTATTGTATACAATTATACTGCACAGTTTACGAAAAGTGATTATTCGGAATGGAATGTCAGTGTAGATTTTACGGAAATAAAGATTTTTTAATATCAAACTGTTATTCTATCAATAACATTTAAGATGTAAATGAATTGCCTAAGACATAGATCACTGGTTTTCTTGGTGGATATTATTATTTGAAGAACACACAATAATAGTATTAGCCGACCAAATTGATTTCTTTCCGAAGATAATGCAAATGATTCCATCAATTGATCTACTTCAGGGGAATGAGTTATTTAAGCTATCAGATGCCAGTTAGCTATTTAAATAACGATAAACATATTGTAGAATTAATGTAAGTATTTGTCAAATCTGATTTTCAGGTATGAGTGCTAACGTTAAATTATATTAAACATATGTACATTTAACAATGAATAACTAATGTTATCATTAGTATATAATCATTACTATATTCAATGTGAACTTCTGTCAAACACGAATACATCAAAATCATTAGTCAATATTTGATATAAATTTCGACCTTAATAAATCGTGTTTGATTCACATTATGAGAAGCAAAATGATAGTGGATTGTTAGTCGTTGTCTATGATATATATATATATATATATATATATATATATAATTTGAGATTGCTGACAAGAATATTGTTTCGATTATGATAAGTTATATAATCTTAGCCTCTAATTCACTTTTTTTGGGGGGAGGGAATTATGTTAGGACTAATGCATTAGTGATCTTATTTCATAAGCTGAATTGATCTATAATAGCGAATGTCCAGCGCTTTAACCAGGTTGGTGGACAAGGAGAAACCACCTAGAGGAGTTGAAAGCCCTGATTCTAAACCAGTGGTGCACATGGGCTCCAGGATCCTGAGGGAAAAATGGCATATGAATCAATCGTCGGTCACCGGTTACCATAGGACTGCATCTGCTTACGATGTTCCACTACCTTATGAATTAGGCCTTTGGGTCAAAGACTCCGGATGTGGCCCCCTAAGAAAACCACCTGCTTCGGTCTGGGCTCCCGTGCAGTGTCATAGCCCTCACGTAATGAAATGAAATGATCTATTTTTGTGTGGCGCATATTTATCTGGTGCCCCCCTGTACCAATATTTATGTGTTCAAATAAATAAATAAATAATCTATCAAAGTTTTATGATTATTATTGACAATAATATAGATAGAAGTTTTTCTTTTAGATTGATAATTACATGAATTACTAAGAGGAGCTTCTTTGATATGTATGTATGTTTGTTTTCTAATTTCTAGAACTTGATGTTTTATTAATTAAAAAAGCGATGTCAATTATTGAAGAAGAAACATGTATACAATTTTATGATCTAACTTCTAGAAGAAATACTCGTAGATTTTATGATAGACATTTGATTCGAATTAAAGGTCGAGGTCAAAGGTAAATGAATTATTTCTTTATGTATTTAAGAATATAAATAATTGTATTCTGTTTATGTTAACAAACATAATTTTTGATGAATTTAAACATAACTAATGTGTTATTCGTTAGTTCAATTAATTTGAATAAACCTATTATTAAATAGGAATAGTTGAAAGCATGAGTCGATTGAAGCTAGACCACCAACGAAAACCTGGAAGTACTGGACGGCCGTTTCGTCCTCAGCAGTGCGCATCCATGATGAAACGGTCGTCCAGTGCTTCCAGGTTTTCCTTGATGGTCTAGCTTCAATTGACTAATGCTTTCAACTATGCAAACACTAAATCTCCACAAAAAACACCTGAATAGGAATAATATATTTGTAAAATCTCAGCGAATAAATTTAAAGTAAATCCAATGTTTCGCTTGGCAATCTGGTCCAAGCTTTTTCAAGGAAATGGAATCAAACATCAAAATTATGGAATATAAATAGGTACATGGTTCTTCGGTTCATTATACACTGAATAAGCTAACATACGATATATTGTAAAGAGAAAATTCACAGTGCTATACAACTAATGATACTTTTAATGTCAACAATTTATCTTTATGGTAAATATTGTAAAGCTGGAATAGAGATATACCAAGGGTTTGTAAAAGTAATCAGGAATACACTGAAATGTATGCCTGGTTACCCTTATAGGGGTTCATAATCAATAACTGTTGTTTAAGTATCTCATAATTATTTTATAATCTTTACAACAGAAAAGTAGATTTGAACAACTTTATTGAATTGTATTTCATGCGTAATATTGAGAAGTTTCCACTGGACTCAAATATATACAATACCAGAATAAAACGATCTGTATTATTGTTATATTGACTTAATAGTAACAATAAATGATAAATTCTATGTTTTCTTAGAAACTTCTATTAAGGCACGTAAGAAAAACGTTTTTACTTCTTTGTTTAATGAATCACAGCAATCATAAGTCGATAAAAGTTCAGTGGGACAATGAATGAATGTATATTGCTTTGAACATTTGTAGCTAAGTTGACAGTGAATGAATGCCTAAACTCTCCAAATAAGGTGAGATTCATCAAAACTATAGTTATATCTTGATGCTATCTGTAAAATGTTAAAGATTATGATATTATTCAAAGTTTACTGTTTGAAAATTTAGAAACGCTGGTAATATCATCCTTGACATCTTACTAGATAAAATGCATTCATTTGATAAAAGATTATATTGAAAGAAGTGCAACACAATCAATTGTATTAGATTCTACTCTTTAGCAGAGTGTACCTGCAATCTAGAGGATAATGATGCCTTCCAACTCCTCACGTATCACCTGGTGTCATAGGCAGAAAATTTATCATTAAAGCATAGATCCTTTCGAGGATTGAGATTTGCGAACTATTTGATCATTGATTGCTATTTAATTCTGTATGTACCTTCTCCTTAGTCTTACCGAGATTTTGTCAATTACAGCTTCTTAATGATTGCTACCAAATGGCTCTAAACTAATCGTACTTGATTTGAAGATAACTCAATTAGATTAATCAGCGTAATGTAGTTTGATAAGTAGAATTCGATCTCCACGAAAATATCAAGAACATAATAGATGATTATTATCCGATGGTTAGCCAGTACAATTATATACATGTTACCTAGCATAATGAAGAACTTCCAGATTATTTTGTTGGTTGTATATAGATAAAGTAGGTTGTTCTTAATCAAATTTGATAGTTAATGAGATCGTAAAATGAATTGCATATATCATAAAATTGCGCTAAAAGTAAATCTTGCATAATAGGTTATGAGATTCTTGTATTTATACCGTTAGTAAACCCATGATATCCAGTATGATCTGCTATCATCACCACACACTGAAGCGTATTAAAATGTGTCTGTTTTTCATCACGTTCGTGCATCTTTCGGTCAATCGGAAATCGGAAACGTAAATAGTTTCTTATGAGAAGCTCTTTTGCGTCATTAGGTAACAAATTTTTTAGATCTCTGATAACAGTTTATGTTTTATTTATCTAATCACACACATAAGTAGAGAGCTAATCACAAACAATGAAGTAACGTAGGAAGACATTAATATTATATGTCCTTCCAAAAAAGGTGAATTCTTACCAACTCAGAAGGATTTATTCTGCCATCAAAGTAAAAAATATTTAAAACTATTTCAGCAAAACGGTTTTTTTAAAAACAAAATTCAGTACTGACAAGATGACAGTTGAACTTTTACACTGAACTGTTTTTATTCTCACTTTTTTTTAGAGGATGCTATTCATCATTAGGCATGATGAGAAATAGGAATCAAGTTCTTCGACTTGGTCCAACTTGCCGAACCGTAAGTACACGTACACATACACATTATATGCGGATTAATACTATATATAACAATAATTGAGATGCTCAGTAGAAAATGTCTTGTATATTTTGCTTTAGTAATGTTTTTCTATAATATAAAGATTATCCACGAGTACATTTACTGATAGAATTATCGACTGTTGCATATTATTAAACAGTGTGTTTTTATCTACAAACTAATTTTTGGTTCACTAAGGTATAATGTTCAACTGTTCAATAGGTTTTAAGTTAGCTACAGTCAACAAATTTATCCTTCGATTGTCATGAGAATGTGCAGTTAAACTTGTACAATAACAAAAATAAAATTGAATCGAAACATAGATCGTGACAGGAAATTGAAATGTCATCTATAATCAGTACTGTTATATTGATTGCTTGTCAACCAGAGAGCAGTGAATTATTGATCAGAACAATGATACACAAAAACCGTATCAGTCCTGCTTTCTACCTAGCCCAGTCAGTTAACTACAGAACTACATAAGATCAAAATAAAGCTTATAATAAGAGGGACATGAATATGAATAGTTCAGTTACTTAACAACTATACAATAGGAAGTATACATATTACATTGGTCCATAAATAGTTCTCAAAGTTACCATTCATAATTCTCCATGGGATACAACAAGTACGTATAGCACTGTCAATTGACTATCATACAAGTAATGAAGAACTTAGACTTTCCTTTATTTTTCGACTATTGAATCCTACATATTAGTCATTTAGGACTACATCAAATAATTTAATTACAAATTCATTGTATACCAAATGCATTATATAAAAGAATCATTATAGGCATAGGGTTATGAAGATTGTCGAATTTCATTTATATCTAATAAGATCAAACAGACTCAACACCAGAATCAATGTCAGTATTTAGTTTAATGTCCTAAGTGCTTATGTTTTATATCTAGAATGAATAGTTTACAAATTTTGAAGTTTGGTATTATTATTATTACTATGATTAAACCTCCAACAGTGAATATTGACTCTTTGATGAATCGACACTTTTTCTATAGTTATGAAACATATAGATCATCTTTCAAAATTTATCACCCGCTTTGTGATATAATTGATAGATATATTTAGTATTACTTAACTTTTAATCCATTAAAATGACAAATGGCGGCAACATTTTTTGTATAAACAAATGAACCGAAAAAACATATAAGTGGATAGGACATATTCTATGTATCAATATTCTCAAATACATAATTCACTTTATGTACAAAAATTTTCAGCGTTATCTTAACTGAGTGTATAAACATTAAAATAATTATTGTATGAGATTGACTTTCAATGAAAAAAGTATAGAGTGTTCATGAAGTATCTTGTGGAATATATAATATTACGATATGAGACTCCTCAGAAGGTCACATCCATGATTCCTGTCAGAGTGATCCGGAAAATTTCTCGCAATAGATAATAAAGGCTCAGGAAACACTAAGAAGCATTTTATGCAATCAGCGTTCACTAGAAGTTTTACCACAAACATCACGAAAGTGAAAAGTCACATGTAAAGTTTCTGATTGACAGATTAATATACTGCTACTATATTTAGTAGCATCCCAGAATTTTCAGGAAAACCCAAGGACTTCTAAAGTACTATAAAAATCCTATATTTTCTGTGAAGAAATGAACCTTTGGAGTAAAGTGCTTCTCGTATATTTTGCGCATTTTCTCTCGTGTTCAAGTCGCTGTATAGATTTAGTTTGAAGGTTACTAGAATAGCTTAGGAACCGAGTATAACGTTCGATTAGCAAGACTTATCACTAACTGTATATTTTATTATTAAAATCTATTATTAAGCATGCTTTCATCAATGTTCAATTCACTAGACTTAAGTAGCTTTTTCCTAGTTTTCTATGAAACTTTAACTGACCTATACCAAGAATTTCGACGAGAGGACTGAATTAAACAAAAGTTTTACGTTATAACTTAGTTATGACAAGGGTTTCTTTATAATGAAAATCTATGGTCTTCGAAGTCTGCCATTAAGGCACATAGACAACTATCCGATGGGATGATAGTAAAACTATTATGTAAACCTGATTAATTTCAGAATTTAAAATAGTTTATTCAAACTTAATGATTCAATGTGAAATATGAAGGTCCTTTATTTAATCTAACTTAGTTGTTCATTGATGAGTTTTATTATTTTATTTATTTGAACACATAAATATTGGTACAGGGGGCACCAGATAAATATGCGCCACACAAAAATAGATCATTTCATTTCATTACGTGAGGGCTATGCACTGCACGGGAGCCCAGACCGAAGCAGGTGGTTTTCTTAGGGGGCCACATCCGGAGTCTTTGACCCAAAGGCCTAATTCATAAGGTAGTGGAACATCGTAAGCAGATGCAGTCCTATGGTAACCGGTGACCGACGATTGATTCATATGCCATTTTTCCCTCAGGATCCTGGAGCCCATGTGCACCACTGGTTTAGAATCAGGGTTTTCCAACTCTCCTAGATGGACCCTCCGTAACCACCAACCTGGTTAAAGCGCTGGACATTCGCTTTTCGTCCTCTCAATTTCGTAAATAACACCCGTGGTACAAGAAGTCAGTGAGTAGGACTTCCCTTACAGAGGCTGTATACGCGTGGACATGTGAGAGCATTTGGAGAGGGAGAGCGGACTGTCCTCACTCTCGGCCATATCAGGGCATTCGGGGGCTGATGAGTTAGGAGGTGGAACATGATATCAGCTTAATATTTCTTAATTAATGATACTTGTAATGATGATGTTAGTTTCCTGTAAAGAATTTGTACGATTGTGTTACAGGTCTAAATGGATAAAGATTTTTTACAAAGTAAATTGTATCATAAGATTCACAAACTTTCTTTTTTATTATTTAAGATTTACACGGTTAAAACTGTTTTTCCCCACTTTTAGTGTATCCATTACGTTTGTTACCTTTTTTCTTTCTCTATTCAAATCACTTTGTAATTGAATTACTAGTTTAACGATACGACTAATTGAATTCACACTACATTTTGATGCTTCCTTTAATGAAAATTCGTTATGTAAGATTATACACTTGATAGTTTATAAAGTATTATTGATGTCATTTACAGTAAAGCACGTAAAAGGTTAAAGGAAATTACATAATTTTACTACAATGTTGCATCATTAATTTGGACCTATTCTTTATGTAAATGTCAAGCTTTAATTATATTCACTAAACATATGATTACATTCTTACAATTGAATGTATATAAAGAAGGAATGAATGAAGCTGATTTACGATTCCCTTCGATGAAAATGTTAGCAACATTGGTAAAAGTTTGGTTTATATATGAAATGATGGATTTTAATGAATATTAGTAGATTTGTAGGTTTATATTCGAAATCACATGTTTATTTAAGCATAAAGTTGAATAATTTCATTATTTTATATAGTTGAGATCATGAGTCAATTGAAGCTAGACCACCAAGGAAAACCTGGAAGCACTGGACGGCCGTTTCGTCCTATTATGGGGCTCCTCAGTAGTGCGCATCCACGATACCGCCTCGAAATTTCGTGGATTGGTTGAGGTTAGACATTAACATCGTTGGATGCCGGCTAACTCAGTGGTCTATTGGTTAAGTGCTCTGGCGCTAGACTGGTAGGTCCTGGGTTGGGACCTCGCGAGGCGGGATCGTGGATGCGCATTGCAGAGGAGTTCCACAGTAGAACGAAACGGCCGTCCAGTGTTTTAAGGTTTTCCATGGTGGTCTAGCTTCAATTGACTCATGATCTCAACTCTATAAAATTGCTAAAATCCGCACGAAACCCTCTTCTGATAATTTTATTACCGTTATACTGTGGTGAATAGTTACTGGGAAAAATTAGAGAAACACAAAAAAATATATTTAAATGAGACATATTACTGTAAGTTATGAGTAGTTTAAGCTCCATCAGTAAATTTGAATGACATTAAAATCGTTAAGTTTCAGAATTTGTTTCTAAATTATCAGTACGGTACATAATCTCAGGAAACAAACAGTTTCAAACAATTCTGTTCTCCAAAAGAAATCCAGGGAAATAGAAATACGATTATCAATCTGTTATGAGAAGTAATGTAGCAAGATGAAGTAGTATTGTAGATCAACAAAATACTTTTAGGTTACTGATGATTTCGTTCTCCCACCACGTTAGATTATAAGAACCAGAATCATTTTAGTAGAAAATCAGTTAACCACATAAAGTTGATCTTTTGAATACAGTGAATAATAAGATGATTGTTATAAAAGGGAAGAGGTCAGTCACTAAAATGTTCTACTGATGATTCGAAAAATCGATGATGACGATTTTGCTGAAAATGTCTATGGTAAATTCTTTAAACTCGAAGATGATAACAACCAAGTAAACTTAGTATATCAAAATCGAGATAATATTGTCTAAATGGTCAATAACACTATCACTGAACTACTCAAACCACTACTGATTATCCGCAAAACAGACTTACTGTTCCTTGATTGGCAACTAATATCATGACATTTGGCCTGTATTACTAGCCACAACCTTTTGATTAAAGATCTATATTTAAGAAATAACAGTTCCTTCAATATTCCATATGTTTTCTGCTGGTAAATGCTGAACAATACAAAGCATAAGTAAAGGGCTTCAATTGATTTCCTAGAAATATGTGGAGGGTACAATAACAGAGCAACACTCTTTGTAGGTACATGGAACGTCCGGACAATGTGGGAGACAGGAAAGACCAGCCAAATAGCAATGGAAATGAGGAGATACAACTTGGCAGTACTCGGAATCAGCGAAACCCGTTGGACACAAACTGGACAACAAAGGCTAGGTACAGGAGAGATACTGCTGTACTCCGGTCACGAAGGGGAAAACGCTCCACACACTCAGGGAGTTGCTCTAATGCTGTCCAAAGAAGCAAGAAATGCACTTGTGGGATGGGAATCTCATGGATCCAGGATAATCAAAGCATCATTCAGAACAGAGAAGCAAGGGATCACAATGAACGTTATCCAATGTTATGCACCCACCAATGATAGCAACGACGATGATAAAGATCAGTTCTATGAAAGGCTGCAATCAATTGTAGCAAAGTGCTCACGAAAGGACCTCACCATCCTGATGGGAGATCTAAATGCTAAAGTTGAAGTGGACAACACAGGATATGAAGATATAATCGGACGACATCTACTAGGAGAAAGAAATGAAAATGGGGAGAGACTTGCAAACCTATGTGCTTTCAACAAATTGGTTATAGGCGGCACAATATTCCCACACAAAGCTACATGGATCTCACCGGACCACACCACAGAGAACCAGATAGATCACATCTGTATCAACAAAAAATTCCGAAGATCAATGGAAGATGTGAGAACCCGGAGAGGAGCTGACATAGCTTCAGATCACCACCTGGTTGTGGCCAAGATGAGACTGAAGCTAAAGAAAGACTGGACAACTGGACAAACAGCACTACAAAGGTTTAATACAGCCTTCCTTTGAGATGCTGACAAGCTCCATGAATTAAAGATAACTCTCAACAATAGGTTCCAAGCTCTACAGGATCTACTGAAAAAACAAGAAACTACTTTGGAGGACAACTGGAAAGGGATAAAAGAAGCACTAATTTCAACGTGTCAGGAGGTTCTTGGTCCTAAGAAGCATCATCACAAGGAATGGATCTCTATGGGAACCCTGGACAAAATTCAAGAAAGTAAGAACAAGAGACTAGCAATTAACAACAGCCGAACACGAGCAGAGAAAGTCAAAGCACAAGCAGACTGCACAGAAGCGAACAAGCAAGTGAAGAAAAGCATTAAAGCCGACAAGCAAAAATACATGGGAGAACTAGCAACGGCGGCGGAAAAAGCTGCAAGAGAAGCGAATATGAAACAACTATATGATACAACGAAGAAATTGGCAGGGAGATATAGCAAACCAGAGAGACCAGTCAAGGACAAAGAAGGAAAGACAATCACTGAGATTCAAGAACAGAGGAAAAGATGGGCAGAATACTTCGAGGAACTGCTGAATAGACCAGCCCCATTGAATCCACCGAACATCGAAGCAGCCCACACAGACCTTCCAATAGATGTCACTCCACCAACGATCGAAGAAGTCAAGATGGCCATCAGACAAATCAAAAGTGGGAAGGCGGCAGGGCCTGACAATATACCAGCAGAAGCACTGAAGTCAGACATTGAAATAACTGCAAACATGCTTCACCTTCTCTTCAAAAAGATTTGGGAAGAGGAACAAGTGCCAACGGACTGGAAAGAAGGATATCTCATCAAGATACCAAAGAAAGGAGATCTGAGCCAATGTGAGAACTACAGAGGTATCAGTTTGTTATCAGTACCAGGAAAAGTTTTCAACAGAGTGCTGCTGAATCGGATGAAAGACGCAGTAGACGCCGAACTAAGGGATCATCAGGCTGGATTCCGTAAGGATCGGTCGTGCACAGACCAGATTGCGACACTACGGATCGTCGTTGAACAATCAGTTGAGTGGAACTCATCACTATACGTCATTTTTATTGACTATGAGAAGGCGTTTGACAGCGTGGACAGGAGAACATTATGGAGACTTCTTCGACACTATGGAGTTCCTGAAAAGATTGTCAACATTATCCAAAACTCATACGATGGACTACAGTGCAAAGTGGTGCATGGAGGACAGCTGACAGATGCATTTACAGTAAGGACCAGAGTCAGACAAGGCTGTCTACTCTCCCCATTCCTCTTCCTTCTAGTGATTGACTGGATTATAAAGAATTCGACATCTGAAGGGAAATACGGAATACAATGGACTTCTCAGAATCAATTAGATGATTTGGACTTCGCAGATGACCTAGCCCTCCTCTCTCATATACACGACCAAATGCAGATGAAGACAGCAAATGTAGCAGCAGCCTCCGCATCGATAGGTCTCCACATTCACAAAGGAAAAAGCAAGATTCTCAAATGCAACACGGAGAACACCAACCCAATCACACTTGACGGCGAAACTCTGGAAGAGGTGGAAACATTCAAGTACCTGGGGAGCATCGTTGATAAACAAGGAGGATCGGATGCAGATGTAAAGGCGAGGATTGGCAAAGCAAGGGCAGCATTTCTACAATTGAAGAACATATGGAACTCAAAACAACTCTCAACTAATTTCAAGGTCAGAATCTTTAACACGAACGTCAAGACAGTCCTACTGTACGGAGCTGAAACGTGGAGAACTACTACGACCATCATCAGGAAGGTACAAGTATTTATAAACAATTGTCTACGCAAAATACTCAACATCCACTGGCCGGATACTATCAGCAACAGCGTTTTATGGGAGAGGACAAACGAGCTTCCAGCTGAAGAAAAAATTAGGAAAAGACGTTGGAAGTGGATCGGACATACATTAAGGAAATCACCAATGTGCATCACGACTCAATCCCTAACTTGGAATCCGGAAGGGAAGCGGAAAAGAGGAAGGCCAAAGAACACACTACGTCGGGAAATAGAAGCCGATATGAAAAGGATGAATAGCAACTGGAAAGAACTGGAATGGAAGGCTCAGGACAGAGTTGGATGGAGAATGCTGGTGAGCGGCCTATGCTCCTCCACATGGGGTAACAGGCGTAAGTAAGTAAGTAAGTAAGTACAATAATTTTATTATTTGTAGAACACACATCACAATGAAGTCAGGAACTCAGAATAAGTTGCTGCTTGCTTACAGATTTGTGTAATGAAGTCAAGTAGTCAGCTGAGTTATTTCTTTCAGGCTACAAATATTACGAAATATATATAATAACACAGATGACGACTATAAACATTTAGAAGACCTTAAAACTCTTGTTATATCTGTGTGAAATCAATCTGATTTACTGATGATAAGATAAACTAATGTCAGAAATTTTATCTTGGGAAAATTCAAAGATTACTTTCACTTGAAAACTTGCCATCTGTTCATATGAATTGTTTCAAAATGTTTGATCGGATCTATTTTTGAGATCTAGAAATTTTTCAATAGTATAACATTTTGAAATGAATAACAATGACTACTCTATTACTTAATATAGGTTGGTCAAATCCTTCATGAATTACTTCATGCATTAGGTGTAATGCATGAAATTATGCGACCAGATCGTGATCAATACGTTATTCTACATGAAGAAAACATTGATAAATCATATTTGGAAGAATTTAAAAAAATTAAAGAACATCAATCTATTTTAACAAATCGTAAATTTGATTTTCAATCAATAAGTTTATATGATCCTTTTGTAAGTGAAACTAAATGTTACTTTTGTTCCTCTTAATGTTATTTCTTGACTCTTTACAAAGAACTTAGTATATGAATAACTATGAGTATCTCCATTTAGTCTTTAGTGTACATTCAGTTAAGCCGTATACTGAATCACATATAACCTGTAGATTGAGTGGCCGAACTATAATTTATGGACGAGCCAATCAGAAGCGTTTGAGGAATTCAAGGTTACGGCGTCAATTTCAGTGTCTAATGTTCATGTACGATCGGTTCACAGAGGATTTTAGAGAAGACTTTACAATTAAGCGGCTACAACAAATGAAACTACTAATAAATTCCTGTATTTGTAATTACGAGTAATTCATGACTTGTAAACCTTGTGCAGACTACCGTGATGTTGTCCTTCGATGTAATATATGTTGAAGAAAGATGTTTGCTAGAAAAGGAACCTTTATCGCTCGATCCAGATTGAGACTAAGGCATATTATAATAATTGCCGCCACCTGTATGATAAAAGCACCAGTAACATTGGCTGCAATAACAGTAGATGTTACTGAAGCTTCGGCTGTTCGATGGTATTAGTATTGTAGGGACATATCCGTAATAAAAATGATAAACCTACACAACCGGAGTACACACAAACAATTATGAAGGTATGTGGTCGAGGCTGAAAGGGGTTTCGTGACCTTGTCATGGCTCCAGAGACCAACTATTATGGAGCCATATGGATGAGTTCCTCTACATAATGCACTACGATTTTGGAACCTTTGAAACTTTTTCTGACCTTGACAAGTTATTGGACCATATAAAAGAAGTGTATCCACTTTGATGTTGTATAATATATTTTTATTCTATGCTGACTGTTTTGCTGATTGGCTAACATTTCTCAAGGTCACCTAAGATTCGTTCAAAGGTCACCGATTAATTATAGTTTCGCCGATTGAGTCAATCTATTTCATCTGATCATTTATATTTTTAGCAAACAGTGACGAATATGTTTAATCATTTTCTATCAATAGAAATATAGGGAAGCTTCAAAAATCAATCAGTAGACATCAAACAAAATTGACACATTATGGTAAATTACTAGTACAAGTCAAGAAACATTGAAAAACATGAATAATACTTTTTAAAATAAAAACATATGACCTACTCTGCAACCATGTTGAAGTGCTAACTATGTAACTTGCAGTGTCCGTTGTTATGTTAGCCCATATATATAATTCTAGCTTCTGGACAAGTCAATTTACCTATCCATCATAAGTCCCGTTTTGACATTATTCATTATTCACTTGTTAACCCTGACTATTTTTATGCGAGCGTATGTGTGTGTACACTTCTTATCTTATTTATCACATGTCTGTAAAACACAATTATGTGAACGAGGAATATTCTTTTTAATAATTTCTCATCAGGTTCTACAATGATCAAATCCAAATTAATAATCCAACGATGTTAATGCCTAACTTCAACCAATCCACGATTTTGAGCGACCGTTCACCAATTGTCTTCAGTTAGTTGATATCTCTACAACAGACTTGGAAATGTTAACTTGAATCAGTTTATAAGTGAAATAAAATCGTAAGATAAATGATCAGTATAATATATAGTTGACAGGGTGAGATAGAACAATGAGATTACAAATCAGAAATTACGTAATATGTACAATAATATGACTTAGGTCAGATATGGTAAATCGGGGTGGATGCTGACCCGTCCACGATGTTTTCCTGTTTATGTTTCTCCTTAATAAACCGTCTTTTCTCCTTGTAAGTAGAACATCTAGAAAAGCTATTCTACCTCCAATTTCCTCCTCACATGTGATTTTTATAGACAGATGAGCTGTATTGAATAGCTGAAGTGTCTCCATTGAGTCAGTATAGTCGTTTTAAAACCATTTCACAAACACCTAGTAAAGCACAGTATTAAGCATGTATTCCAATTCGTCGAGAAGATTAAAAACATAAACAAGACAAGTCAAAAGATGATATCCTTATATATGACGTAACGTCATTGTTCACAAATGTCCCACTCAGAGAGACTGCTGAATATATTTGTGAACAGCTTAGAGAACAAGAAGTAGTAACTACAATCCCTGTTGAGACCATCAAAGAATTACTACTAAAATGTACTATGAACGTACATTTCAAATTTAATGATGAAATCTACAGACAAATAGATGGTGTCGCGATGGGTTCACCCCTAGGTCCCATGTTGGCTGATATTTTCACGCGAAACTAGAAAACGGCCCACTGACACAACAGATTGAAAAGTTTTCACTTTAGTGCCGATACATGGACGGCATGTTCATCCTAGGTAACGACTATACTGACTCAGTGGAGACACTTCAGCTATTCAATACAGCTCATCTGTCTATAAAAATCACATGTGAGGAGGAAATTGGAGGTAGAATAGCTTTTCTAGATGTTCTACTTACAAGGAGAAAAGACGGTTTATTAAGGAGAAACATAAACAGGAAAACATCGTGGACGGGTCAGCATCCACCCCGATTTACCATATCTGACCTAAGTCATATTATTGTACATATTACGTAATTTCTGATTTGTAATCCCATTGTTCTATCTCCCACCACCTTGTCAACTATATATTATACTGATCATTTATCTTACGATTTTATTTCACTTATAAACTGATTCAAGTTAACATTTCATATTAGTCATCTCCAATATTAACCATTTGATTTTATTTTAGATGACAAACAACACTCCTTGATACACATGTTACAGTTTCTTAAATTGATGTACTCTGCCTTAAGCTTGGCCAATTTCTTTTTATGGATTATTAATTTGGATTTGATCATTGTAGAAACTGATGAGAAATTATTGAAAAGAATATTCCTAGTTCATATAATTGTGTTTTAATATGATGGGAATTTTTCAGCGATTAAAAACATGTCTGTAACTTATTCTTGTCTGATTATAGATATTGATTAACGCTTGATTAAAGCGAGTTGGCTTACCCATCATATCCAATGCGTGTCATTTTTGTTTTGCTCGCTGATATTTACTCATATGCTTATAACTTTCTGGCCTGCGTCATTTGTCAATAAAACTGTAGGTGCTGCTTCTCTTTGCCTTCTGATTTTATGCACCGTTAAGATTTATATTATAACGGTTATCGAGGTGAACGATTAGTGAAGCCCGGTACTACAAACTATAACTTATGACGTCCCTAAAACTTCCGAAGAGTAGAATAACGTTTCGACCCTCAGTATATATTAGCTACTTTGTATTTTATTAGCTCAAAACAACAGCTGTTTTCTGAATCAAGAATATATAAGTATATGAATGCATGTTAGAAGATTGAATCAATTTTTCATAATGTAATTTGTATTACTTTGTATATGAACCTTGATAATTACATCAGTTTGACATGATCTTTTGAGATGACTTATGATAATTAACAGTTGAATTTTGACTGCAGCACTACACTGAAAAATTTGGAATCAGGTTTTTTTTCCAAAATGTCAGTCAGAAATCAAAATGAGCTTCATGCTAAAAGCTAACAGACAATAGTAAATAAAACCACAAGTTGCTAAAAATGCCTTCATCACTTCTCAGTAAAAGTAATATCGTTGTTCAAAAACATTTCCAATAATTAAGATCTTTTATTTCATCCCAGACTTTTACATCAAACGGTAATCCAGTATGGGAACCAATTGTTAATTTAGATGATGTACCATTGTTTTCAATCAGTGAAAAATATTTATCATTTGAAGATACTGTTGGTTTAAATCGACTGTATAAGTGTGATAGTAAGTTCAAATTTTAAACCTGATTATTAAGTAGCTGTTAACATAGATGACAGTTTTTCTTTTAATATCAGGTTTCATAACTGTTATTTTTAATTGAGATCATGAACCGATCAATGCTAGACCATCATTAAAAACTTGGAAACACTGGATGGTCGTCTGGTCCTTGTATGGAACTACTCAGCAAAGCGCATCCACAATCACGCACATTGAATTGGAACCCAGAACCTTCTATCTCGCGCGCTAACGCTTTATCGGAACCGGCATCCAATGGTGTTAATGTCTAACGTCAACCAGTCAAAAATGTCGCACGACTACCTTCCAATGGTGGTCTAAAATTGATAGGTTTATGATCTCTATTAAAATTCAACAATCTCCACAACACTGTGCCTATAATAATCATGCGCTCATTAGTGACTATCTTTGAGGAGTGATTCTCGGAGCTCCAGTATGAAGCCGTGTGTAATTTCAAACAATCTACGATGTTAAACGACCATAGTTTATTGTCTCCGATGGGTAACTTTCTCACATCTGACGCAGTTGAACTCCAGTGGACATTAGCACAAGTGGGTGACGGCTAAGAGGTCCCAAAATAAAACGTTCGCGCGCAAGACCAAAGGTCCTAGGTTGCAATCCAACGCGCATGGTCGTGGACGAGCACTGCTGAGCAGTCCCAAACAAGGACCAATCGACCACCCAGTGTTTCCATGTTTTTAATGTTGGTCTAACATTGATCGGTTTACAATCTCAATTAAAACTCGACAATCTCCGTAACCCTTTAATCATAGTTGTTATTTTTGTCTTAAAGCGTATCTACAGGATAATTTTTCACGAGATAAGAAAGTATCCATTAAGCGCTTTATCTTCTATGAAACTCAAAAACTGAAGTTACTATACACAAGTTTTGCAGTTATGTAATCTAGAGATACATGAAATGCTTTGGTTAATTTATCTTTCATTTTTACCTTAGAGTTGTTTGAATTTTGTTCAGCTCCAGAGTTTTATAATAATAACGGAACTATATCAGTCGCATTTTCTAGCATATTTAGCATTTCTATAAACCCAAGCAACGTTTCAAAACAAAATGAAGGTAAACAATATCAGTATACGTTAAACTTTTCTAAATTCCTGGCAATAAATTCTCACAACTTTGGGTAGTTAATAAACAATCCCTTTCCAAAGTCTGACATAAAAATTCAGTAATTTGTATCCGTTTTCTTACTGTTTGGAAATGAAATTTGTCAACTAGAAGTCCCTGTAGAAGGATTATAGATTTCCAAACAAAACGCACATTCAGTCAGATAATTTTTCAAATTCCGTAACATGTAAACTGGTCGTTTTATATCTAGTTCATACAATTAAAATAGTATCAAACATTGATGTATGCACAGAAGGGGTTTTGTGGAGATTTTAGTATTTTGATAGTTGAAATCATGAGTCAATTGAAACTAAAACACCAAGGAAAACCTGGAAGCACTATACAGCCGTTTCGTCTGATTATGGGACTCCTCAGCAGTGCGCATCCACGATCTCGCCTCGCGAGATCCGCATCCAGGACCTACCAGTCTCGCGAGGCGGGATCGTGGATGCGCACTGCCACTGAGGAGTCCCATAACAGAACGAAACGGCCGTCCAGTGCTTCCGGGTTTTCCATGGTGATTTAGCTTCAATTGACTCATGATTTCAATTGATGTATCCAATTAACTTCACAAACAAATTGATAAAATAATCAGTTATTGTAAACTGAAAATTTTATATCAGTCTTAACTTTCACTGATCGCAATTCGTTTGACATTCTTAACTAGGATCTTGCTCCAATCAAAGTAGACTGTGTGAACCAGGGGAATTTCGAAACAAACATTGTGTTTGTATAAATGCCTCAAGTAAGCACAAAATATGATTTTTACAGTTAAATATGGGTGAATATTGTAAAAAGTGTTATTGATGATTTCTGAACACGTAATTATGCATATACAGTAAGAACCATGAAACTAGTAGAATGAAGTGTATGAATAATACCATTCAAACACTTTTCATAAACTACAAATAGTTTAAATTTATAATTATTAATATGATTGAAAGCAAATGTCTGATAAATCTTAATTGATAAAACTGAGAAGGAAACGGAAAAAATACGCAAAATCAGAAGAACTAGGTCCTTATAAAAATTGATAACAAATATTGTAATTGAATATGAAGCATTTCCATATTGTAAAATATCCAGTCGTCCGAAATAGCTAATTAAATGAAAGAAGGACCTGACACATATGACACCATCTAGTGATCAATCAATCGTAAATACATCTCAGTCCTACAGGAGGTCAGTAAGGCGCGGATAGTTTAGTGGTAAGGCCTCTGACTGTGAAGCTGTTTGACACGGGATCGAATAGATCAGGGAGAATCAGTTTCCTCAATATTACAGGTACACCTTGCTGATTAGTGCCAAGTAGTACCAAACCTAGGTCCAGAGTTTCCTGTTAACTACCTCCAACTACCATCTCAATTTAACATAGTGAACGCAATGTCGAGTCACCTAGACTATTGAGCACACTGCAACTTAGCCGATAGGATTTGATCTGCACTAAGGAGGACTTGAAATACATGACTTTAATCAAGTAAAAAAAAGAACAAAGATTAGTAGATCGGTAATAACGAGAGTGAATTTATAATCACTGAAATTGTTTCTAGTTACTGATTTTCATTTTGGCAAACTAAAGCATACGTTATGGAAGTGAGGTTTTCAAAATCAGGAATGAAATCATATATTTTCGAGCTAATATTCTAATAAACGTAACCTTATACTCAAGAATCAATAGTAAGGCGTTATGATCAGGTTTTCTTATTAAACCGAATATCTACTAAGTTTATCATTGCATAATTTGTTGATTATTACCAATCAATTTCCATAGAATATGCTTTTGATCGGTGTAAAGATGATGTCAATGAAACTAAATATTGCAGTGATGCAGTTTCTAAAAATAAATGTTATGATGAAGCGAAATATGCCATACCTTTTTGCAGACGTACATGTGGTAGATGTTTTCGGGACGGTTCAATAGGAATATCAACACCTCCAAAAAAGTGTAAGTTTAAATTCCAGTGTATGAATTCAGTTTTGGAAAATTATTAAGGTTGTAACTAAAACAGTAATATGTTGCCAGATAACAACTAAATGAAATCTTACTTGAGAAACTGTTATATCTAGAGCTTAGATTCTTAGTATGTCGCGTAATACTTGACCGTTCGAACGCTAGAATCCTCCCAAGTCGCAAAATGAGAAGACAGAAGACTAGTGGGGAGGAATGTCATTCCCAAAACAGTGTCAAATATAGTACAAAAATCTCATGTATTTACAGTTTTTTGGCTGAAAGTAAATCATCATTTCGGACAGTCAATAGGCACATAGTGGGGGCTTCTTATTCATCCACTAGGGAAGCTACACGTCGACATTCTAGAATGTTCCTCTAGCGGTGATTGGACGGAATGTCTTCGGTTCTTTCTGGGCTTCTCAAGGCTTCCTTGAGTTTGCCAATGAGCCATCTCCACAGAAACATATGGTGGCTCAGGTTTTACACATCCTGTAAGCAAATTTACTGATTTAAATACACAAGTTGATTATTAAAGATTCTGAGTAAGTTTAAAAAATCTAATGAAATAACAAAGATCATATTTTCGGATTCAAACTTCAATTAATTGTTTTATCAGCAGTTGTCAGCTTCGTTTTTAAATCGAACTGGATGAAAACCAGGATAAAACGAGATAGTTGTTTACAACAACACAAGTTATTCGGATTACAAATGCAAATATGATTATGTTAGATATTTTCAATCAACTGAATGTATCAATCCAATGCTTTCTTGACTATGCAGTAACCAATAATATCATACCTTTTCTTTGAGCTATGTTAGTTGTTCTACAAGCTTGGCTATAGCAGTTAGGATTTGTTACGAGTTTCCGATTTCTTGATATTTAAAACTCATTCACAATAGTTCGATATCTTGTTTGTGGGCTATGTTATCATTCCAAAAAGATTCTGTTTTGATTTACTGCATCTTCTTACATGATGAACTTTATTTTCACTGAAGGCAGTATTCAATCTCTACATGAGGTGTATTTCATCAAGAGAATTTAGCTTATTGATTGGAACAATCTAAATGCTAAAATTAATAATTTACTTGAACAAAGACTTGCTTACTGTGACGTTTTTACAAGCTAAAGTTTGATATTATCTTTAAATAAAGTTTGATCTAGTAGTAAGTTGTAATATTACCACACTTTAGTTTTTAGCCATAGGTAATAATTAAAAGGATATAGAGGAAGATGGATGAGTTAAACGTTTTCTCAGTAAACTTATGAAAATTACTGAGAACAAGACCGATGTTTCATTATGAATCAAATCTCCTCAGCATTGCTCGCTCTCTAGGAACAAATGCATGACATTTAACCCTCAGTATGAACGCATCATTTTTGAACCACTGATTTGACATTCAGTGATACTTGTTTCCACCTTCAACAAATTTGACACCGTTGTCAATATTGTGATGAACAGAACACGTATGGGGACAATCGAATGTATTTAGACACAAATTACAGATTATCTCACTAAATTCTGATAACCATACAATGAACAGTTAATTTGCAAAATAACAATCAATTGTCTCAATCTTAACTGTTGCTTCTGCAAATATTAGTTCATCTTCTCTAATTCCACTATTCATGCATTTTCCTACCAATTGCGCTTCATTTCAGTTCTTTCCTTATAGGTCTGCCAAAATACTTTCTATGTCTGACCATCGTCATATACTACTTATATGGTTATAAGTAGACCACACTACAGCATTAGTAACTGTATCACTTTTAATACCGTTGGGCTCCAATGATTACTGTTTCTTACTATAACTTCAAAAATCCTTCTCAAAATGAGTTAATAATAAACAACAGGTTGTTATTAAAATACATTTACAGGGTTAGCCAAGTCCGTCTAAATTGTAGATAGTGTACATGTCAGCTAACAGGGATACTGGAAATTATACTAGATTTTGACAATATCACTAGATAATTCATGTATAATTAGATATTTAATACAATTCCCATCCTTTAAAAGTTTGATTAAAATGAGAACAATACAATTAGGAAAATTGTCCTTACGAATAAGGAAACCGGAGAGAAAGTATAAATTCATTTTATATCAGCCAACAAACCATAAGCAACATATTACTAAATGCACAGGGTAACAAAAACAGAAAATTCAAATTCCAACGCCGACAATTTACTTTATATCATTGATTCACATTTTCCCAAATTAAATTTTGGTGCCAAATCCTGATGATTTTTGGGTTCTGAACAATATAGAGGGTTTCAGAAGTATTTATCAGTAAAATAGGGCAAGGTAAATAAGTCAGTGCGTTTTCAAACCTGCCCGCCGTTTCGTTTTAGTGACCTTGAACGGCCTGACACGAGACGGTCATTCCTTATTTGAGTTGTTGGGGATCGGGGAATCCATTTTGAATTTTCCCGCTGAAATTTTCAATGTAATTAACCTTGTAGTAATTAATTCACAATCTAGATATGACAAAACTGTTCATTTAGGATATCTAGAATCTCTTTAATATAACAGCGTTGTGTTTGAATAAATAAAATTAATTCAACGCATTTCATGTGGTCTCAGTGCTTTAAAATATTAATGTAATCTAAGTAATTTATACAACTTCTTTCGTTTTTAGTATGTCAAGATGTGGAGATTAATATGTGCGAGACCTACGTTAAAGAAGGATATTGTCACTTTGATGGTTGGACTAAGTTAAATTGTCAGTATTCCTGTAACCTTTGTCCATCACCTGAAGTCGTCAAGAGACAAGTTGAAACAAGTGATGTGAGAGCATATTTAGAAGCTTATCGCAAAGGTGATTGTTTCAATAGGTATGATGATTTACGGTGTGAAGTATTTGCTGAACGTGGTGATTGTCGTACAAATCCTGGTTTCATGTCTAGTCAGTGTACTCAGTCATGTGGTTTATGTCCAGAGGTAGAAAACCAGCGTCCAAATGGTAGCTATACTCAGTCTTCCCATACAATACGATTACCGGCACCTTGTCGTAATTATATTGATGATCAACGTTGTGATGCCCTTGCTAAAGAAGTAAATTTTCTTTCTTTTTTCGGGTTAGTTTATAGCAGATCTGAATGCATTTTTTGAAAATGCATCAGATTATAAGAAAAAATATATTTTATCAATGTGGAAAGTACATATGTTGTGCATGTTCTCTAACATCCTTTGTTAATTATATGAACCTTTATAGTTATCAAAATGGTTGTAGCTAAATGAACTTTTTCTTTCAGTCTAACAGTAAGCTGTAGTCAATTTAATCATGATGGTGTAAGCTGAGAAACCTGACTAATCATTTTGTTATCTTTACTTAATTGTTGAATCTTACTATTCTTGTTTTACAACAGATAAGTTATTAAGATTTTAGAATTTATCTAATGAATAATTTTAAGTTAATTAGATAATCAGAAGGGATTTTTGTGGAGATTTCAGTATTTTCATAGTTGAAAGCATAAGTCAATTGAAGCTAGACCACCAAGGAAAATCTAGAAGCACTGGACGGCCATTTCCACAAAACCTCTTCTGATAATAATATATTTGTAATATCCCAGTGAGTAGAAGTGGCTTACACTGAGTCACAAAACGTCAAAAAATTTGAAAACATAGTTTTTCTACACATTGAAATTTAACAAATACTTTATTTATTGATCTGATTAGATCGCTTGTTTGATTTAGATTAATATATATGAAGAGTTTGTAAACATTTATCTTATGTTTACTGGGTATAATTTACGTGTTCCTTTTTGTGTATAGTAGGTATGGTTTTTGTTATCTCATTAAAAACATTATGATTATGTTTATCTGATAGCCTAAACAGAAGCACTTGAAACAGTACGTTAAAAGTTTAGTAAACAATCCAACAATAATTCATCTAGATCCATTTGACTGACAAGTAGAATGAAATTGATATTTTTATTTTCATTGCATTCATCAACTAAGTATCGCGTTCTGTCTAATGCCCTCAAATGACCTGGTACGGCCGAGAGTGGGAGAGTGTGCTCTCCCTCTCGAAATGCTCTCACATGGCCACGCGAATATCCAGCCTCTGTCAGGGAAGTCCTACTCACTGCCTTTTCGTGGCAGGGGTTTTGTTTACGAAATTGAGAGGACGAAGAGCGAATGTCCGGCACTTTAACCGGGTTGATTGATAAGGCGAGTCCACCTAGGGGAGTTGGAAAACCCTGATTCCAAACCAATGGTGCACATGGGCTCCAGTATCCTGAGGGGAAAAAATGGCGTATGAATCAATTCTTGGTCACCGGCTACCATGGGACTGCATCTCCTCACGATGCTCCACTGCATTATGGATCAGATCTTTAAGTCAAATGCTCCAGGTGTGCCCCCCTATGAAAATCACCTGCTTGGGTTTGGGCACCCGGGCAGTAACGCAGCTCTCACACAAATCAAATGAAATGGGTGTGGCGCATATATATCTGGTGCTCCTTTGTACCAAAATTTATGTGTTCAAATAAATCAATAATGATATGTTCTGTCTAATATCAGCATTATTACTATATAGTATCATTGTAGAATATATCTGTATTGTATATTATCATGTTTATGGATAATGTTTGATACGTGAACATTTTTATCGAAATATCACCGAAAAACACATTAACTTCATAGTAAGCTACCAATTATACTTCGACTGAAATTCTATTTGAAGTAAAAAGTCAAGTTTATTAACAATTATCGACCAATTTTAATCATAATAATTTATCTAATTAATAGTTGAAAGCATGGGTCAATTGAAGCTAGACCACCATGGAAAGCCTGCAATCACTGGATGGCCGTTTCGTCCCATTGTGGGATTCCTCACCTGTGAGCATCCACGATCTAACCTCGCGAGATTCGAACCCAGGATCCACCAGTCTCTCGTCAGAGCACTTAACCGATAGACCACATCAGATAGTGTTTATGTCTAACTTCGACCAATCCACGAAGTTGAGCAACCGTTCACCAATTGTCTTCAGTGAGTTTCTGCTGAGGAGTCCCACAATAGGACGAAACGGCCGTCCAGTGCTTCCAGGTTTTCCTTGGTGGTCTAGCTTCAATTGACTTATGCTTTTAACTATGAAAATATCTTATTCACGAGTAACAATCTACCCAGTACTCAATTTATTTGAATATACTAATCACAGTTTATTCACAACTAATAATGTCAAGCTCTTCATAATCCGTATCTTATATTTAGTTTATTAAGCGATTAGAACATAGGATCCTTTTGATTTACGATAAAACAAAATTCAATAATCATATCACCTAGTTTTTTTCGGTATGACTGATGTGCCTATAAAGATCCCCAGATATGGATAGAAAGCTTGTTCATTGTTCCTTGATCTTCAATATTTTCCCAGCTTATGTCTCTTGTTCATAAAGACCAACTTTGAAATTCACAAATGTTTAGTAACCACTCAAAAAAAAACAATAACCAAATTCTGACTAGTGGCTGTATTAGACATGGATTATCTTATTTTGATTTCAAATCTAACTAATAGAGCATAAATATATATCGCAATTAAAACAGTTACCAGCCAGTAGAACTATGTTTCGATACACTATCATGAGAATTGAATAAATTTAAGAATGTATCCTCCAATGATATATATGCAATGGTCTATCAATGAGAATTTCAAATCCCAGCTTTGATCACAGATGGAATGGTAGATACAAATTCCTGAATAGTCTTGTTCAGTGCTTACTAATTACAAATGAAGTTATATTTGTGTTCATTTCAGAACAAAAACTTCAACTTTGAATATTGACAAAAACGTTACCATATAAATTATTCTATTGTCATACGTAACCCCTAAAATCATTTAACCATAATGAGCTGGTTTTTCTATCTAAATCATGAAATAAGATAAGCTGTTAAATAACTTCTCAATGTAGTGTACATCTCAATATCGATTAAGTTTCGATAAATTTTTTATTATTTTAGGGTAAATGTTTTGGTACAACATTGAAACAATGTCTTGGTTCATGTAATAAGTGTGGTGATAATTATCAACGTCAAACTACTGAAATTCCTCATACTACAACAACAACCAATATTATCAATAATAATAAGTCATTATTGTCATTCGAATGTGAAGATCAATCATTATTATGTTCATATTATAAAAATACTTTAGAATGTAAAACAAATAAAATTATTATGTTGGAAATGTGTCCTAAAACTTGTGAATCTTGTGAAACAAATTGTGAAGATATTGATTCATTAAGTGTGTGTAATGATCTTGTTCAACGTGGTTATTGTAACTTATCAAAACCACATACTCAAAGATGTAAGAAAAGTTGCGGTATTTGCAAAGATACGAAAGTTTTGAAGACAAATTCATCCAATAATGTGACTAGTGTAATTATATCAAACAGGACAACAGAAATTCGTGAAACTATCAGTACTACAACAGTAGCTCCAACAAATTCTGTTACTTTTTCTACAACAAAAGATAGTTTAAATAGCATCGAAATGACGTCTACAATATCTAGAACAGCAGAAATCTCGAGCAGAAAACCATCACCAAAACATAAATTTGTAACTAAAAGAACGTATTTACCGTCAGAATGTGAGTCACGATATTTTTAAATAATCCATCAAATTTTCAATTTCTAAATTTAAAATAGCTTACTTTTTATAATCATCTATTATTAATCGGCTTGTCGGTTTAAATCAGATACCTCATGAAATACATATTTACTTAATATTAACAGAACAAGTGAAAAATTCTAATTGACTTAACCCTAAACATTTTATACGTTTAATAGTCCGTTATAACTAAACACTTCAGTGTAAATCAAGGTATTTGAAAGTTGGATATCAGTTCATTTTTCATTTTTTAAAAAGTAATATACTGCTCGTCAGTGGTGAAATCAAAATATTAGTTGTTTGGTGGTCTATATTCTTTAATTATTCAGTCGATAAACTTGACTTAAGTGAACTATTTCACATACTTTTACTGAAGCTTTACTGATCGAAAGGTATCAATTTAATTTAACTTGAAAATAAACAGATGAGCTATTGTCAGATGAATCAGTTTAATGCCAGAAAGTGTTCTATATATCTTATGACTGTTAAAGAAGTATTTCTGAAGTTCCTCGTGTAATCTACCTATCCATTTTAAATTTGAAGCTAGGGGTAGAAACATAGAATAAACTGTAAACTGAATGTAATAATTAAGTAAAGTCACATATATTTTTCTGGTTAGCGTTTTTGGATCTGATGCAGATATGAAAGCTCGGATCGGCAAAGCTAGAGCAGCATATTTACAACTGAAGAACATCTGGAACAAAAAACAATTGTCAACCAACACCAAGATCAGAATTTTCAATACAAACGTAAAGACAGTTCTATTGTATGGGGCGGAGACGTGGAGAACTACGAAAGCCATTATCCAGAAGATACAAGTGTTTATTAACAGTTGTCTACGCAAGATACTTCGGATCCGATGGCCAGACACTATCAGCAACAAGTTACTGTGGGAGACAACAAACCAGATTCCAGCGGAGGAAGAAATCAGGAAGAAGCGCTGGAAGTGGATAGGACACACATCGAAAATCACCCAACTGCTTCACGATGTATGAAATGCTGATTAGCCTCCTTAATACGATAGCAGGGATAAATTATATAGTTAAACTGAACTTTGTTCTTGAATTAAAAACTGAAATTGTCTTGAGAATTGAACATTATTTACATTACTTCTCATTATAAATAATTACTTTGTCCTCTGAATGGCATGACAGTAATTACTGTATAGTAAGTGATTCATGTAACTTAGAATCACAGACTTTTGTGATATTATGAAATGGAGGAGTAAAAGCCAAAATTTTTCGATCATATTTCTTCATTATAACTACACTTTTACTCAAATATAACTTTTTTTGTTCTATAGATTCTGAGGACAAACAAGAATGTATCGATCAATATCCGAAGACAACATGTGTCGCTTGGAAAAACACAGGTTACTGTAATTTTCCACATGTCTCCAAATTATGCTTAAAAACATGTCACTTATGTAAAACTATTGAATTGTTAAGTAAATATCGACCATTGATAATTTAATTATACTTTTACTTTGTTCTAACATTATATTTGCACTGTATCTCAGTTTCATTTTTTATCCTTTGACGGTGTTACATTACATTCATCAATTATATTTTATACTAATGATTTGTAATATAACCGTTATCGAGGTGAATGATTAACGAAGCACGGCACTACTTATTAACAATATTCATGTTATGTCTAAACTGAATATCATCTGTTTCTTTTCATAGGAAAAGTTTGTTGAATTACAATACGACTTTTCTTCCTTTTAAAAAAAGAAAGACACTATGTACATGCTTCTTTTTGTAATTCCTTTACATTGTTATGTAATTATGTGTAGATCTTTGCACAAAAGAATGTAAATAGCAAATGGAGATTATCATCATAAAACCTGAATGTCACAACAATAAATTGTGACACAGTGTTGCAGAAAATGTACCGTATATATATATATATATATATATATATATATATATACATATATATATATATATACATATATATATATACATATATATATATATATAGAGAGAGAGAGAGAAAGAGAGAGAGAGTGACTTTAAAGTAGCAACTTTATTCCGTTAGCTACATTAACTAAATGACTATGAAGTTCATCATTGTCATGAACATACACATCAGTATGGATAGCGAATTCCAAACACCATTGTTGATGTGATTTAATTGGCAGAAATCCTATAAATGTACGCAGAAATCTGTCTTGTTAAAAAAATACCAGGGATAGTATATAAATCCAGCGTCTCTAAGATTACATCTTTGACAGATTAGTATCGAGCATGAAGATTAACTGTAGACTGGAAAATTGTGCAAGCAGTGCTTGAGAGACACAAGAATAGTGAAGAATGAAGAAGACTATGAACAAACGACTCAGTAAATGTATAAGGTGGGTTTAAACTCAATAGTGATGGAAATCAATAAAAATTAGTAGTACGTTGAGAGTGAAATTTTAAGAATCTGATAGACGAGTTTCGATCGCTTTATACTAAATCACTCAATATAAATATCCAGTTTCAGTTTGGAAAGAACAGGAGGTCAGATGGCCTGTATTAGCCCTGGAAATGATAATCTTTTAGTTGATCCAAATTACTTTTGAAAGCGATGACTGATGAACTTCAGTTACATATTGAGGTAATGAATTCCATTCGTTGATAATTGGATGGGAATGTCGATAGTCAGCTGACAAGTCATTTATTCTGGACTTATGAACATTTAAGACAGCCCTCGTAAATTCCCTACTTTGGGAGACAAGAAAAATAATGGCATATCAGATTCAAATTTATCAATAAGTCATTACATGTCTGATGTAGTTCATCATGCATGTGTCTGAGCCTTGATGACCAATATGAATCACAATGCGCTCAGAAGCCTTTATCGGCAAATGCCAAATCGTAGACCAGTCATATAATTTCTCCAGGTCATTTTGAAGCTCTAAACTATCACCTTCAGTTTTTTTCGCTCTCCTCATCTTGGCATCGTTAACATATCACAAAACCGACAATGATTGGAGACTGGGTAAGTCATCTACATACATGAATAACAACACTCGCTCCCAAAAATGTACCCTGAGGTACTCCGCCAAGTATAGTTTCGCAGCTAGACAACTTTGAGTTCACTCCTAATTTTTATTGATGCTCAAATAGTAGGTCCTTTATCTACATCAATAAATTGCCTTTAATCACGAAGTTACTTAACTTATGTAACAGCCGGTTGTGAAGAACTTTCTTAATAACCTTACTGAAGGCAATGTAGGCTATATCTATAGGTAACTTTAGATATTTAAAAGTGCACCAACATTCAGGGGATACTAACAAGTTAGTGAAATCTGAATAACCTGTTCCAAACCCATATTACTTATCGGAAGGAGTCAGGTTTTCGTGGAGATACCTAAACAACTCCTTCGGAATCATATTTTTCAAATTTTAACGACCAATCTCTTTAGCTTCACGGTTCAATAATTCTCATACTTGAGTACCGTAACTGTAGACAGGATCCACTATAGTGTTCTTCCAATCTTTTGGTAATCGACAGTAGGTTACAGACAGGATAAAACATATTCTTAGGAGATTCGCAAACGAAATTTGCCGATTGTTTTAATAACCTAGGTCACAATTCACGAAGTCCCATTGATTCGTCTATATCAATCTCATTTAGCAAAACAAATACATCGAGTTCTTCAATGGTCACAGTGTCCAGTGTGTGTGAGGCTTTTATGAACTGAAAGAGAAGGCATCACTGCGGTATAAACATTGCCGAAATAATTTGAGAATACCTGGACTTTGGTATAATCGTCTTTCACAAATGATGTAGTTTTACTTTCTCTTCATAGTGCTGGAACATTTTTTCTTCTCGTATTACGCATAAAGTGCATTCGTTCGTGCTCATCTAATACTTCATGGTCAAATTCCATTACTTCTGAGATTCCTAGTTTGTAAAATAATTCAAATCTTTCAAACTATCACAGTGGCGTCGTGACAAAGCCTGCGATCTAACAGTTAGACATTCATTCAAATTTTGATGCTTTTGAGAATTGTATAGAAAGTTTTGGTATCTGGAATATAGCTAAAGATGTTGAGGTTGTTAATACTGTGACTTATTTCTTAAAGAAGCCTACAGCCCATTAAAAACTTTGACATTTCCAGAAAAACTTATTCCACTTCCTTATGCAACTTTCAAGCAACTACTCCTAGACCATGTAAAGTGTACAAATTTGTGATGTGATAAACGAGAAAAATTTCACAAAATGATTCGTCAGGACATCAGGAATTTCACTATTTTACTACATTGTCCCAGTCCAACACGTAATCCAGATTATTCAGATGACAATTCATTGAGAAGTTGCAATTCAGGTCACGAAGATAAGCACAAATTCGGTAAATGCTTCTTCTGTGGCAAATCTCACCCATGTAATTCATGTGTATTTTGTAATTCTAAATGCTTCAACTGCGGAATGAGTGGACACATACAGGCAGTTTGTAATGCTACCATTCATTTCGCTGCAAGCAATGCTAAATTTTATAATCCTGATCCTATTAAGTTGAGTGTTTCTAATGACGAATTATCTTTATCCAAGACTTCCAAAGCAAGTATAGAGTCATGTAGTAGTCCATAATTAAATGGAACTCAGAATCATCATGAAACGAAAGCTTCTAGTCAGTCAACTTTCTATCGGATTTCTCATGTTATTGAATCGGATGTCGTTTGTCTTAACGATTCTCATATTTATGATGGAATTTCTTACAAATCTGAGGAAAATATGTTGAATGAATCAAATCATGATCGAAATTCCGATACAGTTCTGATAAATGCTGACTTTTCTAATGATTCATAAACTCCAATGACATTCCCAATAAATTTGAGAAAATAGTTTTAGAAGAGTCAAATCCTAATGTCATGTTAAAAGTTATTCAGTCTCAATGCGTTTGCTTCTTGTGAGAAACGTGTTCAACGTGAAGAACGAATACTAAATGAGCTTGATTTTCATTACAGTTAGGATGATTTCACATCAACTGTTGTTTATACTTATCATGAAGTCACTTCTAACAAATACTCTAGTCAATAAGTGAAATATGTTTTTAAAAAAGCCACATTATCCATGACTTGTGGGTATGAAGATCTAACACTATTTCATGAGGGAGGATGGCGTTGGAAAATCTATGGTTCAAATTCCAGATATCAATGACTTCAAGGCACCTCTGTCATATTGATCAAATACAGTTCTAGGAACCAGGTTAGTCTGTTCCAATTTCGATTGTTATTCCAATACTAAAGAGTATATTCTGGATAATTCATACACTACATCCAACACACAGTCTAACCGACACACGATGAACTTAAAGAGAAGACATAAAATCGATTACGGAAACTTAGACTCTGATTTAAGCTGTGTCGGTTGTGCTGTTTGTATGAACTTATGATTCATTTGTGCTTAGCGACAGCCTGATTTTGAATTACACATACAATGGATTCGTTCGTGCTGATCTAATATTTCGTGGTTAAATCGCTTTATTTCTGGAACTCCTAGCTTGTATAATAATTCAAGTACTTTTATTTATCACAATCAAGGCACAAATGTTTTAACTTGCCGACGTTAAAATTTTATCTCGTCAGTACTCACTGAACTAAATCTTCCATGAACTGATACATATGACCATATTATGATTTTCCAGTATATCTTTTGATATAGTTATTCCATATGGTCATCAAAGTGATCACAGAATATAAGTGTCACGTGAGAGCATTAACGGTGAAGTGTTACTTTAACGAAAATAAGGTCCATATATTCCCACTCCATTCGAGTAGACTGCAGACATCGATACAGATTACCAACATTGGTGAATTACATTGAATATGCCACAGGTATTCAGGTTTTGACAACGCTTTGACTAGTAACACCTATTATGAATCGTACCCACCGAGTGAAATCAAAAGACAGAAGCGAGGAGGTTCGAAGATATATTTGATAGGTTATCAATATATCGTGGATCGACTGATTTTATCTGGCTAATGACTGCAGGGGGTGTTGAGCACTGTGTGGTGGTCTGTATTTAATATTATCCTCAAATTTCGTGTATTGTTCGTCCTGATAATTGTTACTAGATAACGCCTTAACGATATATAAATCGGAAGGTGAGTACGAAGTGTTGATTGCGTTTATTATCGAACCCCGCACAGATATCCCAAAATATGGGCACGTAAGGCAAACGTGAAAGAGTAATGGAAAAAAGCAAGCGCGTGAGCGTGCGAGTCGAATGAGTGAGCAAGTTATCGAGTCAACGAACGAGTGTGCCAGTCAACGAGTCAGTGAACAGGTTTAAATTTACGTATATATACATAGTGAAATGAATGAATCATCGAATCAATAGTGCGACAAGTAGTATGGCTAGCAGAATGAATATATGTGTAGGCACTAAGCAATGCTCAAACATACATATTCATACAAAAGCAAATATAATAAAGGTAAAGTAGAATAGATAGGTTGTTATTGCACTAATGACTCTTTCCGTTAAATAAGTTAAGCCTTTTGGCTTAACCAAATTCAATATGAACAAACTCAATTGTATGTGAGCTGCTATAACGGCGTTTCCGTTCGTAATCTGGTGCGGATGCATGCCGGGGTACCTTCAGATAAGTGGATCCATTAAAACTAATGTGGTCAACATCCAATTTCAATGACTTACAGAGCTATTTATTTTGAAATTTATTTGCCGCTACACCATTTTTATGGGTTGTGTTGAATTCTTTAATTGAAGAGTCGACATGTATTTTCATTTTTCTATGTCAGTGGAAAACATTCACCACTTTCAACTCTTGTCAATGTTTGGTCTTTTGAATGTGCCACAGAAACCAAAGAAGTGAATTTTAACAAGAGTGTGGTGATGCAATTAAATAACTACGATGATTCGTATTATTATACAATATGTGGAATCGTGTTGCCCTAAGTAGGAAACTATAAAAGTTTAGGAGTCATACTAAGCAATGATCTCAAAACAAACTGCCACTATAAGGCTGCTGTTGCGAAATGTTATAGGGGATTATGGTCTATACGTGGATCTTTCCAGTATTTGGGTTAGGAAATGTTTAGATTATTTAACTCGACTTTTGTGTGACCATATTTGGAATATGGGATTCAAGCAGTGAGTCCTTTGAAGATACCATGGGTATTGAAGTTTCACAGCACTTCACCAGTAACACCTATATTCGACTCGCGCCCACCCGGTGCAATGAAAAGTCATAAGAAAGGAGGTTAGAAGATATATTTGATGGGTTGTCAATATATCTAGGAGTGACTGGTCTAATCTGGTTAGTGATCGCAGGAGATGTTGCGTACGCCTTTCCAAAGCGTGATCTGGAACGGATGCATGACCGAGCTAAATGAGTCCATTAATACTAATATGGTCAGCATCCAATATCGAACACTTACAGAACTATTGATTTCGGGTATTTTATTACAGCTACTCCTCGTTTCAAATATGAGACGGATATGCTGGAACGAATCCAAAGCCGATGGACTAAATTGGTAAAATTTCTATCTGTTCTATCTTATGAAGATTGAGACACCTCAACTTATTTCCGTTATCTTACCGTAGAATACGGGGTGATCTAGTATTGGCTTATGTATCATGAACAATGACCTTAGTACTAATATGTCTTATCTTTCCCTTCCATCTAGGAATGATCATTTGAGATGACATCGGAAGAAAGTTCATAAACCTAGATCGAATCGTTTACGTCTGGAGTTTCTTTTATCGCACCGAGTAGTGAATTCCTGGAATTCTCTACCAGAACACGTAGTAGCTGTAAATAAATATCAGCACCTGTTGATATATTCAAAACTAGAATGAACCTGCACAGTGTAACAAATCTGCAAGGATTAATATAGGTCAATAGAACTTCTATCTTCATTACTGAAGACTGAATTCTAAAGACTGAACTATTAGTTATCTTAGTGATTATGAGTGCTCTTCCGATACAAACAAACCCAGTTGCCATTGTACTAACAGATCACAACTTCTTCGTGCTGAATTCTAAAATAGATTGTTCAGATTCAAAGGCAAGTTCGATTCCGATTAAAAGGTCTAAGTAAAACACACTTCACAAAGCTTTCATACATTTTAACATCCCTTTGAGAACATCATCAGAATCACATGCTGAGAACTGGCTGAACTATTTAGTAAAGCTTCCACTATCACCAAAAGTGATTATGGAAGACCCATTAAATAATTATATATACATTTTTTGGCGAGTTTGACTTACTCATAGCTTCGATTTTGCGTGCAATATTGACACGGAAATACAAGCTCGCTTTTCAAATTTTACGTTTGCTTTGTCGACCTGTGAAGGTCAGGTGCAGAATATTTGGTTCTATCCAATCATCTTAAACAGTTGCACAGCATGTAACTAAATGACTTTTTACAGCGTGAAATAACTTGCCCGCAGTTTTTTTGTAGGGTTTATCGGTCATCTTTATCTAAATTACCATATTTAGGGAGGTCTTGATAGATATTTGTATTTGATATCTATTACAATTACGCATATGTGTAGTTCCTATACATTATCAATTTTCAGGTTTTTGTAAAAGCAATTTTTGTCTTATGAAGAACATTCTTCCTGGATCTGTTAGCATTCTTGACAAATTGTGAACTGGGTGGATTGTGTCCCCTATTTGCGCGAATTCGATAAGTCACAACCACTTTCTACATCTACCGAAATAGACATTCTTCCTGGCAGCTTTTTTCAACTGGTAGTGTTTTATATCCACCCAAAGCACGTGGTGACACGAATTATGATTTTTAAACTTTTATGCCTTAGTAGTTCAAAGGTTCCCATTTTACTTATGTAGAAAGGTTAGTACTTTGAAGTCACAAATATTAAGAACCTCTGTCTGCAGATACCTAAGTAACTATTTGGAAACTGGTAGGATCCCTGTGAGCTCTTGGTTAATTGTATATGCTTTTTAAGTCAAGGAAGCATCGATTCTGATAGGTTCTGAACCGTTTTTCAGTGCATTTATTCACTTTTCTTGATTTTCAAGTAAACGCCAACTGAAAAGTTTGTATATACATCAAAATAATTTGTACATGCAGTCGGTAACTTTGTGAACTTATCCCACTTCTCAGTTTGACCGCCAGCAACTTGTTTCGAACTTACTCGTGCACTAACCAATTTCACGCGTTGATGTGGACCAAGGTTGGTCCCATGTAATACTTATCCCAGCCACCTCAATCTATATTGATTCACCAACAAGTTTTAATAAGTAATTAGTTTTTAATCTATAACATTTGTTGTTTATATCTATTATAACCTTTTTTCTCTGAAATGTCAGCCTTAAATCTACTTATCAATGTACCTCAAGTTGTATTATCCTTTACGCTCATTTCTTCTATAGCGTTTTCTATTCAGAAAAATCGTCAGACGGCAATGAAGCTATTCTCACTGCAGATACTTTACAAAACTGACACATCAGCTAAATTATTACAAGCTTCACATGAACTATCAGACTTCGGTTATTTTCAGCGATCCAGTGTTCGGGAATTTATGGACTTTACTGCTAAAGTGGTGTGTGAACGAACAGCTCGTTGCCAGCGTGCACAAATTAAACAACAAGGTTTATTTCATATATAATATTTAGCTTACTTTTGAGTAGATTATATTTGTCATGTTTATGTTCGGCATGATAATCTATGTGGTGTACTAATTTGTGACCAAGAATATCCTCCAAGGGTTGCTCAGACGTTACTAACCAAAGTGAGTTGCATAATTCACCACTTTCTTGTTATCATTGGGTCACTTTCTTCTAAGACTTTGTTTTCAGTACGACATTCAAACTAGATTTTTATTTCACTTCAGTCCATTTTAGGTGAAAATAATTGCGGACTGAGGTGTAAATTGAAAATTCATTAACCTGATCTCGTCTAGTCACCCCTAAATTAACAAATTTAATCGGTAGTTCCATTTACGTTTCATGGCGGCTCAGCATTTTCCTGACTACAACTCACTAACCTAGACCTACAAAAAATTTATTGAGGTCTGACTTCAGAGCTATCACATATCTTTGATATCTAAACTAAAACGCAAAATTAAATAAAGTAGTCAAACGGAGTATGATATTTCGTCACTAAATTTTTGTGCTACTCCAGATTGCTGTTCATTTCCTTGTTTGATTCTCCATCATATTGTTTAGCAGGGACCAACTGGATTATTGTGCCTGCACTAGAAATTTCTTACGATCGTGTGAATATGCGGCTGAAGAAAGCGAGTATTAGGAAACATCTCTAGAAACAACGTAGCTACTATAGTATATGTCTGAGTTTTGAACAGTCCTATTTATTCTAATATCGGTCTAAACGCTTTTTTTCAGTAGAAGTGTTCTCAATCCTAACCAAATTTATTACTTGATTTCTTTAATATCAGACTTTTTAACCTTTACCCTACTGATATTCCTAATGGAAAGTAGTTCGACATGTTCACTTGTTAGTTTCAGTAAAATAAATATACTTGCAGTTAAATCAATTCATAAAACTGTTTTGTCGTCTCATTAAATTTTGTTCTAGGCCGCTGAAGATTTCGCACTCCAATGTCCTGCATCTACTTGGACAAATATGGCTGTTGGGTAAGTTAGCCATGCGAACGAGTGCCTTTTCTAGACATTCAGTTTCAGTTTATTCTCTTAGTATTATCTTAATGTTCAAAGAAATTGTTACAATCGTAACTTTCATATCAAATGTTGTGACTTACAGTATAACTTATCAGTAATGGAATATGGCTAGAGTTTACAATAAACGCAATGAAAGACAGAAATAAAAAAATAAGTGGGTAGTGTAAAATGTAATTAGTGGTGGAATGACAAACAATGAAATGTCTTTGAAAAGGATAAATGAACTTATTAGTGTAAGGAATTGAAATCCAACAAACACTTGTTTCAATTATGACTTAAAGTACACTAAGCTCAGGATTTCGGAAAAGGCAATACTTAAAATGTATTAAGTTATGCATAGGCATTGTGAGTTTGATATATGAAATGAAGGTTATATACCCGGTTTGTAATAGTCCGTTACATTCTCTGATGTTGACTAGACAGTACAGTACTTTTGCATTGTTTGTTAACCTAAACTAAGACGCAAAAGTGATTTTAAAAAATATTCTCCGATGCGTACTGTGTGGTTGGACACAAAAAACACATAGACATTGTTAATTAGTGTTTGGCTGGTTTATTCCGGTAATTTGACCGCAACATTTAGACATAATAGTAATTAGCTAGTATTGTATGTTAACGTTTAGCTATGTGGAGTTAAAGAGATACGATAACCTGTTAACAACGTAGATATTGTCATAATATTATAAGTATTACTAGTTACTTCATTTTACTGAATGATTAACCAAAGAAAGCCTCCAGTATTCGATGATATTTAGTATACCTTTTCACTGACAATCTTATCTCTTTGCTAATAGAGTACGGGAACATGAACCAGTGTACATACGTTGCTGCTATCCCAACCGTTGCTGCTACCTTGACGTGGTGGTCGGGCTTGCCTATCGTGATGAAGCAATCGAGCTATGCTGGCTGGAACCATCGTTCTTCAAGGTCCTACCATGCCAGACAGGTCGGTTGAAGAGCGGTGAGACTAAAAGCAGCAAACCCAAGGTCCGAAGGCGAAGTCGTACTGTCGACTGTACAGAGGTGTGACGGCAGTAAGGTGTTTCCTTCAGACAACCAGCATGACAGCGATGCTGCCTTCCCACAAGGAGGGGTGGGGTTAGAAAAGGTCAGCCCTAAAAATGCACACCTCGCCTTATCCCACGGATATCCGTCTCCGGCGGTAAGGTTTTTTTTAAAGAACGGAGCTAACACAAAAACTACCCACAAAAAGGTCGTGTGTGACCGACCTCAAGCAGTTGTCCCATGGGCACTGCGGTCACGCTCTCAGGTCATTAAGACCACTTCTAACCCAATTTCCTTTTCAGGTACCCCCAGGAGAACCCTTCCACGGTGTGGGCAACCGGGAAATGATAACTGCCCTCATACCTCTAACAGCACTCAAGACCACCATATTCATAATCAATCTCCTTCAATTCCTACTATTCCTTCTACCTTGACTTTCAACACTAAACTTCCTGTTCCGGTTTCCTCCTCAAGTGTCACCATGGCCAACGATTCTAGTGCGCGAAACGCTGTCCCAGGTCTACTTAAACCTCGCTCCAAACTACACATTGGAGCCTTCAACGTACGTACCCTATGCCAAATCGGTCAACAGGCCTCCTTAGCTAAAACCCTAGAATCTCGTATCATTGATGTGTGCTGTGTCTCCGAAACACGCATACAGGATCCTAGTGTGGTCATTCACTTGACCTCACCTCGCCAAAATGGACAACCAACGAAATACACCCTCCGTGTATCTGGCGACCCGTTGGCTAGTTCTCGCGGACTTGCAGGTGTAGGCATAGCACTAAGTACAAGGGCAGAACAGGCACTATTAGAATGGATCCCCGTTAACAGTCGCCTGTGTGCTGTCCGGCTGAATGGCTCCGTAAGAACTCGGAAGGATAGGGACACACGTTGTTGCCTTTTCGTCGTTTCTGCCTACGCTCCCACCGACTGCAGCCATGATGAAGTGAAAGATGACTTTTACAGAAAGCTCTCTGAGCTTCTTCAGAAAGCTAAGCGCTCAGACATAGTACTCATAGCGGGTGACTTTAATGCCCAGGTAGGCAGCTTGAATCAAACAGAAAGACATTTAGGTGGGTGTTTTAGTATTCCGGCTCAACGAACCGATAATGGTGATCGTCTGTTGCAACTATGCTCAGACAATCGTTTATTTTTAGCAAGCACTAGTTTTAAACATAAGGAGAGACATCGTCTAACATGGCGACCACCTGCACCAAACCAACGATGGACTCAAATCGACCATATTGTCATCAGTCATCGTTGGAGAGGCTCAATAGAAGATTGTCGCTCGTATTGGAATACTTGTTTAGACTCTGATCACGATTTAATACGAGCGCGCTTTTGTCTGCGCCTCAATGGACGCAGGAAAAGTACACTAAGAAGACCCATTAGGATTGAACTGGAGGACGAGAAAGCCAAATGCGAATTCCAGAAACAACTGAGTTCACATCTAGGCAGTTCTGTAAACGAGACTGACCCAGATGCTGCTTGGAAAGACACACGAACAGCTGTGGAAATAGCAGTAACATCTATTAGTTATTTAAACCATAGGGTTCCAAAAAACCAGTGGATTTTTTCTAAGTCTATTTCACTGATGGATTCGCGTAAACTCATCCCATCAGGCTCTGAACATGACGAAGAGCGTAAAGAAATTAGATCTAGGTTAACTAAAAGTCTAAGGAACGATCGTGAGCAGTGGTGGGCAACGAAAGCAAGAGATGGAAAAGGCAGCGGCTGTAGGGAACACCAGGCAACTATTCAGACTAATAAAAGAAACCGGAATTAAGAAGTCAAGTGTAAGTGAGACAATCTCGGAAAAAGACGGAACCCTTATCTGCTCTCAACCCAAACGTTTAGAACGATGGGCGGAACACTTTAAGGAGCAGTTTAGCCGGCCTTCAGCTACTGTACAACTACCCACTATTCCTAGAAAACCTGAATGGAACATTGAAGTAGGCCTCCCGACCCTACTTGAAGTTCAAAAGGCTATAGGTAATCTGAAACGAGGAAGAGCAGCTGGTCCAGATGGATTGGCTCCAGAGGTCTTTAAATATGGTGGTCCGATTTTAGCGATTAGGTTGACTAATATTCTGGCTAAAATCTGGGAGACGGATGTAATCCCATACGACTGGTCACAATCACTGATTGTCCCAATATATAAAAAGGGGTCAAAATCATCCTGCAATAACCATAGAGGGATTAGTCTGACCAACATAGCATCTAAAATACTAGCCTCAATAATTATCGGGCGCCTAACTAAGACTCGTGAACTGCAAACACGAGAAAATCAGGCTGGCTTCAGACCTGGTCGTGGCTGTATCGACCACATATTCACCATTCGTCAAGTTTTAGAGCACAGACACGCTTATCGGCGTCCGACAACGGTAGTTTTTCTTGACTTGAAAACAGCATTTGACTCTGTAGACCGAGAGGTTCTGTGGCAGTGTCTGTCATTGAAAGGTGTACCTGAGAAGTACATAAACCTTGTGAAGGCTATTTACTCGAACACTACCAGTCGAGTGAGAGCTTATGGCGAACTGTCATATGATTTTACAACCTCAAGTGGTGTCCGTCAAGGCTGTCCACTATCCCCATTTTTGTTTAACTTCATTATAGACCTGTTGCTGGAAATAACACTCTCTTCGACTGAATTTACAGGAATTGAACTCCTACCAGGGGGAACACTAAGCGACTTAGAATACGCAGATGACATAGTCCTGTTATTTCGAAAGTTAGGAGATATCTAGCAGGAAACTGATGCTTTCAGCTAAAAAAAATACGTATTCTTTGTATATTCCCCATAATAGGAGCTACTTTCATTATTCCTTCAGTGACAAAGATTACGTACTATGTAATGCTAGTGACAGGTAAAGTTATCGTCAAGTATAAACCAACATCCCAGTTAATCATACACATAAGCTGGAAACTAATGAATTGCATGGTGAGCTTGTGGTATATCTTACTTTCCATTTGAACCTAAACACTGTTAAAGCCTCTAAAAACATTAAATATAATTCCGCGATGGTATTGGAAATGAGCCGTATTTAGTGGTGTTTCAGAATTCTGGAAGTGACCAATGAAGCCATAACATTACCCAAGTTCCCTGTTGTTATTTTACCTACTCCCCTCTTAAAGAAGGACAAGATACTTTTTTGCATGTTTCATTTTGTTTTGCTTTCTATTAAAAAAACCCAGATCTAATCCATGCAAAAAGATCGATGAATATTTACAGAAATATCAGAATCCTAGTCAAGCAGATGGTTTAATGCGACTTCAGAATGAATTAGATGAAACAAAAGTTATTTTAGTGAGTTTCATGCTGGTTCCTTTTTATTCAACCTGTATTTCATTTCAAGCAACATAGGTAGCAATAACAATTCTCTCAGAAAGATAATAGGTGATGGTTGTCAAAATATTATTTTTCTTCTTTGTCGAGGCATTACACAACTATTTACCAGCAACATTCACCATCTTGGAAACAATATCATGCCAAGTTCAAAGCAGTACCCATAAAGCAAATGACTGGTTGACTTTTACAGTTTTGTATACACATAGGTTTTACCAAGTGGTATATTTGAAATATGATTTGTCTATTTATTTACCTAGACCTTTTACTTACCACCCAATCGTTTTTCGTCGGTCTGGTTAATGTCTCATCGGTTTCAGGAATGAGAATAATTGCTAGTTGAGATACATCTAAATCCTATCCTGACATACTGTATGGTAAACACAAGTTTAACATTCATATTATTTGGTAAACTTCTCTGGATTCACTAGCATTACCATTGTATTAACAATTAACACTCAGTTCTCGGTGATATGCTAAAATTCATATTGTATTCGTTGGATTTCAAGTTATGAAACATAATTACGCTCAATCAACTCATTGATTTATTCTAATGTGGTCCATGTGTGTCTGTAATATTTAATCTCTCTGTTTACTTTTGACATTTGTGTAAGGAAATGAAATATGATTCGTCACTTTCATACTTTCAAGTAGTGTTGTTGTTTTTCACAAAGTATTAAGCAAATTAACTGACATTCTTGTTTTGTGAGTGTCTTTAATTGTATGCTACTTTATCATATCTAATCAGTCATATTATTTATCCATACTGATCCTCTCTCTGTTCTTGTTTGGTTCTTAGCAATCCGGATAGATATTTATTGAAATATTAATGAACATAAATAATGGCTTATTTTTGATAAAATTTTTAGAAATCTGTTAGTGGTGTCAAAATACAGACTTAGGATATGTAAAGTATGTGTTTACAATCTGGGCTTTGGACCATACTGTTTGCCTAAGGCCTAGTGTTACTATCGACTCTCCAAAGCAGTAATTGACCCAATTGACACATTATACACTTGAATTCAATAGTGAGAGTAATTGATAAGAGATAACAATATACACGCACGATTGGGATATTAAATGTATTATACAGCTCTCTACAACAATGATAACGGATATAAAGGTCGATTGTCAAAATTGGTCTAGTGAAAATCATCCTTTCGGTTGACACAACCATGATCAGAATATTTTCCCAATTACTGATTATTTGAACATCATTTGCACTGTCTTCATGCAGTTGCCATTGAAATTAAAAAAAAGAATGCTTGAAAAACTGAAATCAAGCATATGCAATTGTTCAATACTAGCAAATAATGGTAGAAAAAAGTTGATAATGGGTAGTGTCTGACAATCTAAGTTTAGTCAAAACGCCGCTATCAGAATTCCTAGTAAATTCTATGACTTTAAGTTTTGTTTTACCATTTGTGGTTTTTCAGCTATGTGTACAATATATTCATCTAACCATCCCTATTGGAAATTTCTTACCACGGAGTAAGGATCCTAATGAATACTTTTGATCGAATTCATTAAGGAAGTTAAACTTACTCATATGTGTTATCCTGTGAGGTCCAAAACTGAAAGATATATGTCTATAAAGTCGTGCATTATGTTCAGTCGCTAACAATTTTGATATACGCTTTACTAGTAGGCTGTCTAATATTGTTAATCTCTATTTTATTTTTCATGCTAATAAGTCAGTGATACCCTGTTAATTACTCGCCGTATAGTTCATCACAGCTACTGAAATAATGTGTGTTCACTTTTATACTTCATTATATGCTATGTATATGAAATATGAATTCTCGGTATTGTTGATTGTACATCGACGCCACTTCCCTATATATTGCCATCTCTTCAGTTTTACTCTCTATAAGCACATAGTGTTTTTACCCCTACATTTTGCGTAACTGATTTATCTATCGTGTACAAGCCAACAATAATACTAAATTATTTCATTAATGTGTCGTTGGGGTAAGATTTCATTAAAAAGACTATTAAAGGTATAGATTCAACTCTTGACTAAACATTATTAACGACCGAAAATTCATTAAGTTTATGGGTTAAAATACATTAGCTACGGAAATTCTTTGTGTAGCCTCTTAGATCACTTTCTGACAAATTACGTGGTGTCATCATTAGTAAAATAGGTTGTATATTTTGGATTTCATACTACAAATTAGTGTGACCTTGATAGTGAATTATTTGGGTGTCTAAATGTGATTAAATAATTTCATTAACTAAATAGTAAGTGTATATCATCATTTTTTCGTAGTACCCATACACGTTGATTACAATTATTGATCTTTGTAAACACCTACATGGTCGTCTTTTCAAAAATACATCATTTCTGAAAATAATATGGACCTCAATGAACGCTTGCATATTAAGCAGATTCAAACGAACAATACTAAATGAATTTAAACTTCACCCCATCGCACAACCAAGTGGCTATCAGGACTCAGTGGCCGAGTGGATAACGCGATGGTGTTTAAATCGAGGGTACTGGGTTCGATTCCCAGAGTAAATATCAACTCTGAGATGCAGGTACATCCAGCTAGTGACGAGTTCCAAGTAGGACGAAACGCGCGTCCTGGATTCCACTGCTAGCCACTATCCATCTCTGCTTATCATGCTTGTGAATTAAGGCTATATCGAGGCAACACGCACAGTATGCACATATGCCAATTAAAGATTGACCAGTTGCAGTCCTAACACATCAATGGGAAGATTCAAACAAACAGTACTAAATGAATTTGAAAGCTTGCATAGTTTCAATAATTGTCACCACTCAACTAAGTTCACATTCAAAACGAAGACGAACGAGGAATTTCACACTATTGAATATAAAATGACTTTATTTCAACCGGTAAACCTTTTCGCTAGTGCTTGTTTTTTTTTAAAAAGACAAAGTACGCCCACTTATTTGCTTTTTTCACATGTAAATTGCAATGTTTTTCATATATCTCTTCTTTTTATTATTATTTTTAGCATAATACATTAGAATCGTTATTGTCTAGAGGTGAAAAACTTGATGATTTAGTTGAACGATCCGAAGGTCTTAGCTTACAATCAAAGATGTTCTATACTACAGTAAGTTTTCTGTTGACTGACTTGTGTTGTTATTGGCCTTTTTCCAAAAAAATTTGCAAAAACGAAACCTCTTTACTTTACGTATTTAGTTGTTAACCAATGTTAAATAACTTATTTCTGTGTATGGAACTCCATCATCACTCATCTGTTGAAATGATACATCTTATAAAGTCATTACTTCGTCTATTATTCCATATGATAACTCCTAATAATCCAGTTTCGATAAGATGTTAGTGGTTTACTACCGTAGGAATTATGTTCGTTAGTATTGTTCTTCCGATAATTTAAAAAGTTTATTGTGAGTTCTGTACGGTAACCACTTCATTTATAAAATGATTTTTATGGAGCAAAATAAAATGTAAATGATGCTTCACATGATCTTATTGGTATCCATGTATGAATATGCTTTGAAAATAAATGACAAAGTGTGTATTTAAGATCCGTTCTTAATTTTCATGGTTAATATTTCATTTAAAGTAATAACCTCTTTATATATAGTGTTCATAAAATTTAATATAAATTGTATACTGTGTTCCTGTCACTTCCTTTTTTCCTTTACCAACTCAGGCGAAGAAAACAAACAAATGCTGCATTATACTGTAAATTCTTCATCGTTCAGTTCACCTCTGCTCATTTCTCTTCATGTCCGTTGGAATCAGGTATTAAACCTAATCAATAGAAAATTTGAACCATACATAATTTCTTTCCTACTTGAATCACTTTGTATTCATTCCAGAATGCTAAGTCGATCTTTGTTTTTTTTATTTCCTTTATATGACTTCAACGTCTATCACATAATCGAACACCTGTTTATCAATAAGTTTGATTATCTTTGAAATTGTATTTTTCTTCTTCGTGATTCATTCGATCAGTAATATTGTGTTATACTACTAATTTATTTTGGTTAAACATTTACGCTACTTGATTTTAACATGATAATTTTTTGTTGTACTGAATCTTGTCCGAAACTTTGAACGTCGACCAATTTGAGTTGTTGACTATGTTGATATTAATAAACTCATCACAATTTACTTTGTTCAGTCCTATGTGTTGATTTATTTTAGTTCTTCCATAATTGCTGAAAACATAATGTAACTGTTGATTCATGAACGATGTATATACATATTTATTATGGTTATCAAATCTTATGGAATTTTCGCCTCTTTCGTCTTTGTCTATTCAGTATTTTGTGCATTAAAATATCAGTGTATATTTACACGGAATATTCTGGTAATTAATTGATTCAATACCTATTTCTCTCTATTATTGTCCCTCTGTAGTTCATGTTGATTCGTGCTTCTGTTCTGTTCGTGGAGTTTCAATTTTTTTATAATTGATTTCAATGTTTGTGGGTGGGGCTTTTGTATTTGGAATATCACAGATTTGACGTTTACAAGATGATCGTTCATTAAATCAAATACTCTAACATATATTTCTTACACTTTTGTTTTGGTTTATAGCTACTTTTTGGGTGCCGTCGGTCGACTGATTCGTTATCATATTTTATGTTGAACGAATTAAAGAATAGTTTTGTTTACGCAGTGTTGAGAACTTACAGATTAAGATTTAACGACTGTCTTGTGTTGCATGGTTCTCTAGTTAGATCTAGCCGGTAGTGACAAACATATTCAGAGTTAAAAATCTACGACGATGCTAAACCATACTAGCCAATGGACCTTGGATTTTGACCTGTTTTTAGTCCATCAGAGAGCAAAGTGTATGAGTAAATTATTATACCAATTCACTGATGTAATAAACATTATTTTGACATGATTAATAAACTTTCACCGGTTAGTTATACGTTCTTCACCGTCCGAACTTATGGTTAGTTTTAATAAGTCTTGTCGATTGAACGTTACATTCGTCTTCCTAAGCTATTCTGGTAACCCACAGGCTAGAACTACCCAGTGACTTGAACACCAGAGAGAAGAAGCAAGTATGAGAGAAAATACTTTACTCCAAGGTTCCTTCTTGTACAGAAAATCATGGGTATTTATAGATGTTAGCGTCTGTCAAATCAACATCATATTGCAGCCAATCCGTTAACGACTACTTTTGGGTCTCTGGAGGCTCCGGAAGCCGACTCAACACCTCCCCCGAATAGGATTTCTTTCTAGGATCAACTTGTAGTTTGACAACTGGGTTGCGACTTCGTCCCATTAATCTTGTCGTCTTCCTTATCCAAGGCTTCTTTACAGTGTTCTTGGGCATTGGTGCATCTAAGATTAAATCTAACGGAAAAATCGGCCGGTTACTTCAAGTCTGCATCGTTCTATTGTCTTTATGGATTTGATTTGTGTGTCGTATACATGTCCCAAAAGTTCCTCGAACTCTGTACAGAACTCTTTCCCATTTTTGTACAACTTTTCCCGGCTCCCATAAGTTCTTCCCGATGTAGGATTTAATGTAAACTTAGTCGCCAACATTGAAGTTCCGAATACTTGGATTGTGACTGCGCTCATCAACTAATTTGGATGGCAACACGGCATTGAAGATGGTTCGAATACGCCTTTCGGGCATGACTTCCGCAGGAGACTTGCCGTCCGGAACATTCGGATTCGGAGTGGATCTGTAGGATGTTAAAAATTTTGTGATCATCTGCCCAGTCGACCCTTCGCCTCCCCCCTTCAGTAATGCTCGTTTAAAGGTGTCCACAAAGCGTTCTGCTTGTCCGTTTGATTGTGGATGATAGGGTGGAGAACGGAGATGAGTTATTCCATTTGTTCTACAGAAATGCTTAAACGATTCTGCGGCGAATTGCGAGCCATTATCCCTTACTAGGGTCTCTGGTACTCCGAAACAGCTAAACAGGGTAGATAGCTTGTGGATTGTTTCTGATGTACACTTTGGCATGGTATATACTTCCGGTCATTTAGTAAATGCATCTACGATAATTAGAAACATCTTTCCTTGGACTGAACCAGCAAAATCTGCATGAATTCTTTCCCAGGGTCCTGCAGGCGTAGGCCAATACTGAAGTTCGCATTTCAAGGGATTTTTAGCGGCTTGAATGCATGATGGACAGTTACGACATTTATTCTCGATATCTTTGTCCATCGACGACCAATAAGCATAACTACGAGCCAACGATTTCATTTTATTGATTCCAGAGTGGCCAATGTGAAACTGCTTGAGAACCTTGTGACGGAATAACAATTCGATCACCGAACATAATACACGAGTCAACAGCCATTAGTGAGTCCCATCGACGAAAATATTGCAAAAGTTCTCCGTCAAGGCGATTGTTTGGCCATTTGGTCTAGAGATTGCATTTGACTGTGCTCAGTATCTTATCACTTTCAGTGATCTTCTTGATAGTTTCAAAGGTTACTGGGGGTCCATTGATTGCGTCATCCAATACACGATGAACTTCTTCCTCGGCTTTTATATTTGCTACAAGAGTCTCCTCTGGGGTTTTTGATTGGGAGCCTATTAATCTTGAAAATGTGTCTGCTTGCCCGAAAGCGGTAGTAGACTGATACTGGATCTTGAAGTCGTAACCCAGAAGTGTGGTTGTCCATCGTTGGGTCGGTAAGCTGTATGGACAGGGATACCTTTCTTTGACCCAAAAACTGCAAGTAGTGGTTTATGGTCTGTTATTAGAGTAAAACGTCGGCCATATATCATCTTATGGAACTTTTTCACTGCAAAGATAATTGATAGGGTTTCTTTCTCAATCTGACTGTAGTTCCTTTAAGTCGTTGTCAAAGATCTGGCAGCGTATGAGATAGCTTTTTCAGATCCATCAGGAAAAATGTGAGAAATAACTGCATCCACACCATAGTTAGAAGCATCTGAAGCGTCGACTATCGGTAGCGAAGGATCATAATGTGTCAATAAGAGATTGGAAGTCAGGAGTTGCTTGATTCTCTCGAAAAACGCTTGGCAGTCTGCAGACCAATTCCATATCGTATTCTTTTGTAGTAGGTTGTTTAGTGGAGCACGTAGACGATGGAGATCGGGAAGGAAAGTACCATAATGGCTGACCAATCCCAAGAATGATTGTAGGGTGGTAATGTGCTTGGGTCTAGGCATTGTTTTCACTGCTTCAATGTTCTCTGGATCTGGTCATTTTCCGTCTTTATCTATTAAGAAAAACCCAAGGTACCGTACTGGCTGCATATAGAAGTCACACTTTTCCGCTCGGAGGAGGAAACCATAATCGGCTATGCGTTCTAGTACCTGTTCCATTTTCTTCTGCAGGTCCATTTTATCTACTGCTATAATTATGATGTCGTTTAAGTAAGCTGCTTCCCCTGGAATATCTTGTGACATGGTATCCATAATTTGCTGAAAAATAGAGGGCGCTTTCTTCACCCCAAAAGGTAGTCGGTTATAGCGGAACAGACCTTTGTGTGTGTTGATCGTTAAAAGATCTTTGTTTTCATCAGATACCGGGATTTGTAGATATGCGTCTGATAAGTCCAATTTCGCAAAATATTTGCCACCGTTTAGCTTAGCGAAAAGATCTTCCGGTAAGGGTAACGGATACTGGTGGAACTCTAGAGCATCATTTAATCCCGTGAAGTAGTCTCAAATAGACGGACACTTCCATTCGACTTCTTGATCACCACTATCGGTGAAGCCCAGTTTGAGAAGTTCACAGACTCGAAAACACCCTGTAGCCGTAAATAATTCCCCAAAATCAATAGCTCATTAAGTGTTCGACATTGGATGCTGACCACGTTGTTTAAGTGGACTTGTTTAGCTGAAGGCTTTCGGTCATGCATCCGTACCAGATCACGTTTCAACACGGCGTGGGACACAGCTCATACGTTTCATTAGCCAGCTTATAGAAAAGGTCCTCGATATATTGGTAACGAATCAAGTATATCTTTCCTGCCTCTTCTCGTCTGACTTCTGATTTCTATCTGACTGGGAACGATCAAATATGGAAGGTGCTACTGGTAGCTAGTTGTAAAAACTAGAATATCCGTTGCATCCTCAACCTATTTGCGGAAGTCTTTGTAACTTCTGTTCAACTATTGGAAGAGCAGCATAGGGTACAGGTCTTTGAGGTCGAAAAACGGGAGTAGCTGCAGGTTTTAGAGTTAGCACTGCTTTAACCTCTGTGCATTCGCCTAATCCTTTTTTAAACACGTTCTGGTGTCCTTGTAGCATGACATTTTTCTGAGGTGTTATAAGTTCTGATTCGTTTGCAGATACTGTTAATAGAGTGGTCTGCTAGGTTAAGTGTTTCTATAAGATCTAACCCCATTAAGTCGAGTGCTGTCTTCTTTGTAAGATATACTGTTGCACTTGTCGTTACAGCACCTTTTAAAACAATGCATGGTATTTCTCCAACAATGTTTAACTTTCCACCCGATCCACTGTGTGCTAGTTGTGTTGTTCGATGCACAGTGGGTCGCCCAATCTTCCTCCAAGTTTCCGGGCTCATTAAAGTAATATCAGATGCTGTATCCAGTTGAAGACGAGTATGGTGTTTATTGATATCCAAAGTTATGTACTTTCTTTGGCAGTAATTTCGTGCGCGGTTACGTGATACCAATATTTTGTTGGTTAATGCCCCCGATCTGTATTTCTTGAAGTATAATCACGACGAATGCCGTTAATGGGTTCTTCTTCTGCAGTTTGTTTCTTTA